GGACTGCATCTTGCTTCATTTGTACAGCACCTAGTGCAGTGGGGCCCTGATCTCACTTGGGGCCTATAGGTGCTTCCAGAATACAAACAATAGTAGTACATCCTGGAGCCCAGACTCCACTGGGAACAGGACTGAGCCAGCTTGGCAGGGCGAGGACCATTCAGGGACCCTGTGCTGGACTCACTTGCTTTTCACCTCAGAGACGGCAGGTTTCCAGCAGGGCCACTGGACAGGCAAGTGCCATTCTGCAAAGGCAGCTTTTGTCACCGTGAGGTTATTCTTGGGGCTTCTTCCCTTTAGTCTTTCCTCCCTCCTCTCCCTCTTTGCTTTCCCTCTCTTGGCCCTCCCCTTCCTTCAAGTGAGGTGCGGCCTTCCATGCTCTCAGACAGCAGCTCACATCTTCTATCTGGGCACCCCTTTCTCCCTCCCCCCATGAGTGTGGGGCCCTCGCTGGCTAAGAGAGAACAGCTAGGCTGTTGGGTGCAATGGTAGCAGGCTGGGGATAATGGAGGGTCCTGTTAGGGTTCTGGGGGTCAGTGAACTTGAGAGGGAGGTTCCACCCGCCCTCCCGGGGTCCTATGCTCCATTTGCACCCCTTGTTCTTCAGACCGGTCCCCCTTTGTGCTGTAGGCAGTCTCAAGGCAGAGCAGGGGGTGGCTGCATCTCCTCCACCCCGGGGCTGCGCTATACACTCTCTGCGGTATTGTTTTCAGAGGAAGTGCTCAGTGTAAATAGAGCATGTGGGAGAGTTTGTCCTGGGCAGAGATGAAAAGTCCCTGTGACAGGTTCGGGTTATAAATGGCTTCCTCAGATTGATGTGAAATCAAAACATTTCTGTTTGGGAGAAGAAAATAAAGGGGGATGTTTACTTAGCCAGGAACCTTTAAACAGTGCAATGGAGACGCAGGGTGATGTGGGGTGTGGGGGCACAGTTTGGAGGGGAGGGGAGACTCTGCTTAGCTCCCAGAATCTACCCACCCCTTGTGCAGAGGAGACGGGTGAGGATCCCTTGCTCAGCAGCTCAGTTCCGCCCCCTCTGCTTGCATGAAGGAAGCACAGAGAGTCCGGCATCAGTGGGTTGAAGGTTACCTAAGGCGTCCGTCCCTTTTAGAAGCCAATGACCCCTAGGGAGCGCGCTCTCCTCCTGAACCCTTGGCCCAGCCTGGGCAGAGGGGGAATCAGTTGTGCTTATACAGGGCCCTTGCTCTAAGGCTGTTGAGCGGCAATGGAAGCCCACCACGTTACAGATAGGGAAACAGAGGCACAAAGAGGCGAAGTAACTTGCACGGGTTCACACAGTGAGTCAGCTACAGAGCTGGGAATAGAACCCAGGAGTCCTGATTCCCAGCCTCCTGTGCTGACCATTAGACCACATATCCCACCCCATCCCCTCCGGCTGACAATGGAGCGCAGAAGTTCTGACTCCCAGTCCTTTGCTCTGACCACTGCCGCATGGAATGACACCATATGTGAGCATGGCATTTGAAAGAGTGCCCCTTCCTGGCCCCTGACAGCACATTTGAGCTCAAGGGTCTCTGACAGAACAGCTGGGGAGGGTTTTGTGGGGGTACTGAGGGCAGTTACAGAGGTTCAGACGTGCCCCAGTGCTGGGCCATGAGATCCAGGACACAAACCCCACCTTCAGAATAACAGGGTTCCTGGAAGGAGAAAAGGGGGAAGGAGAAAAGCCTGGCAGAAAGTGTGAGTGGAGCAGGGCAAAATAGTTGGTGGAGCAGATGTGAGGGCAACATGATGGGGATTAAGGGGAGATATGATCTGCGAGAGGACCCCACAGATACAGGTGGAGAAGAGAGAGAGAGCCGTTGGATGGTGCAGAGCCACAGGGGATGATGAGGTGGGGCAGAGGCCGGCAGGGCAGAGGCACAAGGGGTGAGATGGAGAGAGGCACAGCCAGGAAGGGAAGACGAGTTGCAGGCTCCCTCGAGCTGTGACATATGCAGCAAGTGCAGCCTCGCGAACGTCTGTTCTCCTCTTCCTTTGAATAAATATTTATAGATTCATTTGTCATCTGATGCGCACATTTGGTTGCTCACCTCCAGGCCAGAATAATGGGACCTGCCCTGACTGTAGGAATGAAGGGGAGCAGCAGAGTAGGGAGAATCTCCTTCACCCTAAACTCTGGAGTTAGGGGCTGCTGATATTCTGCTGTCCCGTTACCTCCAGCTGTGAACTTGTCTGGTCTCACTATCCGAGCGGGGTTGGGCCTCGTGAGAACTAAGGTGGGGGACTGCCAAGCATGGCTAGAGAGAGTGGTGCTGGTGAGTCATAGATGACTGAGTGCCCTGCCCCGTGCTAGGGCACTGCATGCTGCTAGAGATGCTGTCCTAACCACCTGCAGTCAATGAAGCTCCCCTGGCCCTTTTCCTGAGCACACGGGCGTAACCTCGGTTTCCTGGCCTGATTCCAGTTGGAGTGATTAGCAGTTCCGGCTGCCTCCTTAGATTCTCTCTGCAGTTTCAGTAGTACACAGGATCCTTCTTCACTTCCTGTCCTAAACGGATGGTGGACGCATGGGTGGCTGGGTAGAAGTGCACAGGTGTATGTGGTTTTGCATCCTGTCAGTTTTGGCCTATGTTCATTTGGGGATGACCCATGTTTGTGTGCGGAGGGTGAGAGTGTAAGGAGTAAATGTGAGCAGGGTGTGCACGTGTAAGTGTATGGGTCCAGGGGGATGTATATGCCTCTCTATGTGTGTATGCATATGTGCATGTGTGTGCGTGAGAGATGAATGCATGTGTCTGCATTGGGGGATGATACGCATTTTGCTTGGGTGCGTGGCTGGGCTGGGTGCAGAAGGGGATGCACTGTTATAAGGCCACAGTGTGCATTTGTGCCTCCCTGTGTGTGTGAGGGTGGGGGAGGCTGACACATGTTTGTCACGGGGTGGGGGTGTATTTTTCTTACACTCCTTGACAGGAGAGTGTGTCTGAAGCTGTCAGGAGTTTACGCTAAGCAGCCGCTCTCTGGCTCTCGGACAGAGTCTAAAGTTTCAGTCTATTTGTATTGGGCTGTCATGTTATGGGATTAGGGGCTGTCACAATGGCTTCTGGGTGCATCGTAGGGGGTCTGATTAAGCGCTTCTGTGCAGCAGGACCTTCAGGGCTGGCCATCAGAGTTATTGGGGGAGCCTCAGCAAAAGGCACTTTTGCATGGAAAGCACCAGTCCTCTGAGATGCGGAGGAGATGGTTCTCCTCTGCCCTGCCCCTCTGATGGACATGAAGTCAAAGGGCACGTTTTCCAGGGAGGGCCTGGAAATACACCCACATCTGTTGGCCTGCATGAAACCCCACGCTTATGTGGGCACCTAGCCATTTTGCGGGTGCCTTTCCCAGAGTCCCACTTAGGAGAGAAGTGTGAGTTCAAGTGAGAGTGTTGCCTATGCTTTCTGGCCTCAGGAGACCAAGGGAGAAGTCAGGTGAGTCTTTGTGTGACCCAAGGACAAGGGGCAAGGATGGAGAGTTTTTGCAGGGCTGGTTGTTACCAGAGAAGGGGGAGGAGCAGAGAGAATAAGCAGGATGAGAGAGTGAGTGTGGCTAGAGGGACAATAGGGGAAGATACAGGCCCACAGTAGAGAGGGCTCAGAGCGAGAGTGAGAATAGGGTGCAGCAGGCACACGTAGAGAACAAGGGAGTGGCAAGAGCATCAGAGCACAATGAGGGTGAAGAGGGATCAAGGGGATGGCAAGAGCACCGCATGCGTGCAGAGTGGCCACGACAGATGTGACAAGATAGCAGCTGGGATGCAGAAAGTGAGGGCGTGCGTGACACTGGCAGAGTGAAGGCTGTATGCTCTTTTCCTGCCTTTGGACCTTTAACCCTTTCTTAGCCTGGACACTCTTAAAGGCCATCTGAGAAACAACAACTGTGTAGCCCTAATGTTCTCTTTGTGCAGTTTGCAGCTTTTAATTGGATTAAATCTTGTTAATAGTTAATAATTATACAAGTGACTTTGTGGTAGGGGCTGATCAGTTCAAGACATATTCCCTCACCTTGAAGTTAAGGTCCTTCCTTCCTTCCTTCCTGTCTCTCCGTTTCCATCCCTCCTTGACTAGTTGTCACATATGAATAAACTACGTTAAAATGACAAACCCCAACCAAGATTGTGCAAAGACGCATAAGGGTGGAATTTCCTATGTGTGTGTGTGAGGTGGAGAAGGGGTGTTACTGACTGATACTAAACCCCAGTACTGTTCCCTCCTTTCCCCTCCCATCTGATTCTCAGGATACAAGTAAATTGCACTGAGGCCAATGGAGGAGTTGCTTAAATTCCCTGGGGCTAGAATTTGGAGCCCTATCTTTCCTACAGACACCTCTGATGTAACTCCATTGGCAATTGTGACAGCTGCCATCTTGGCCAATGCACCGGGCATTGAACTGGGGACCTCCAGAGCTAAAAGTCTGAGTAACTACAGCTTAAGAGAAAGAATCCAGGCTCCCTAGGCAGGGCTGCACCCAACTTGTATCCTCTGTGGCTCAGGCACACAGGGGGATCTGTTCCACTGAATGCATCCGATGAAGTGAGCTGTAGCTCACGAAAGCTTATGCTCAAATAAATTTGTTAGTCTCTTAGGTGCCACAAGTACTGAAACCTACAATTATACGAGAGGTGAATTTTGCCTGGGACATTCAGGGACCCATTCCGCCAGATTCAGTCCTGGTGTAAGTGGCTGCACACTGAAGTCAGTGGCATTACACGCACTTACATCAGGGCTGAATGCAGCCTGATGTGTTTTAAAGGAGGCCTCTCTCTGTGGTGTTGCTGAAAGACTGTGGGTGAACTCCACATTACACTCCCTGAGACACAGGTCCTCCACAAGGCATCAGGAGTTCATGGCAGTTCCTTCTTTCAGAGGGTAACACTGGCTGGCAGTGTTTTAAGGCAGCTGGGTGGGGTCAGATGTTTGTAAATGGGGTTTGAGTTTCTGAATGGCAGAGCTTTCCCTTTAATGCTGTTTATTTCTCCCTCTGTCTCTTTCCAGCTGAAAGAAGTATATGCACTGACGCAACCTCAGGAAAATCCAAGATGGCTGCCAAGCGCAAAGGCGGCCTGAAGCTAAATGCGATCTGTGCCAAGCTCAGCCGCCAGGTGGTCTTTGATCATGGGGGATCGGAACAGGTGCGGTTGGACAAGGGTCCCCAGAGGGAAAGCGGCAATAAGGAACCGCCCCAGCCTGAGACCAAGGAGCTGGGGGCCAAATTTTCTGATGGACTTAACCGTGTTCAGAAGATAGAGGAGGACAAGCGGAGGGAGGTGATTGAGAAGTGGGTGAACGGGGAGTACAATGACGAGACCCTGCTGGGCCGAGCAGAGGGCAAGGAATGTAAGGCCACCGAGAGCGTGGAGGTGCCCCCCGAAGGGGTTTACATGATACAGCCCAAGGGCTGCAGCGATGAAGAAGATAATGGGGATGAGGCAGACGGCAGCTTCCCGGACGACAGGGATTCGGATGGGCCTGCCTCCAAGGATGAAAGTTACCGACCCTCCAGCGGCCAGACGGGCTCCAAGCTGGCTGGAGGAGCTGCCTCAGGTAAGTCATTGCCCCATCTACCACCCTGCACAATGGAGTCCTGAGACCAACATTTTAGGCAGGGCAGTGTGAGTCACCTCAGTTGCCCTACATCCATTGGGTAAACTTGACTACCAGAGCAGAGGAGTGAGCGACACTTTCAGAGCCCCTAAGTTCTCCACTGCAGTGGGCGGGCTGCTCTGTGATTTACAGCTGGGAGCTGCCCTTGAAGTCCCACTGCCCTGGAACCCCTTCTGGGGATTCCTTCATCTGGGTAGATCCCAAATCCCACCCCCAGATTCCTTCAACGAGTGGATTCCATATCCCACCCCCAGATTTCTTTATCTGGGTGGCTCCCACCCCACAGACCCCTTTATCTGGTTGGATCCATCTCCCGCTCCACAGATCCCTATATATAATTTAGATGAAGATAAAGGCATTTGTCACTATGTTTCATGTTCAGGTTTCCCGGTGGAGGGAAAGGCCCAAGCTGCTCTCCTAGCCGAACCTCCAGTATACTCTCAGTGTATTTATACACACACTTGCCTGCGCGCTCCCCAGGATATGGCAGGCAGGTTTGTGTAAGCACACAAGTGCTCGCACGCACCCACATGCTGCATCTTCCACAATGGTAATTAATTCTAAGAACAGAGTCTAATTGCGGGAGACAAGGGCTGAGAAGAAGCTGGTATTTCTTGGAACGATATATTGCCCATCCTACCCCAGCTGGGTACAGACTCAGAGCTTCCCTGGAACACACCTCGCTGGCGCTCTCTCGTGTACCAGGCAGTGAAACTGAAGGGATGCTGTGTGTCAAGGGATGAGAGCTCATTGTGGAAAGGTGCTGCCAGTGCTAAAAGCTGTCCACCAGTCCCCCTGAAATAGACACGGAGGCCACATGTGGCACTGTGTCCTTGTTGGTGAGGCAGCAAGAGGAGAGCACAGGCCAGGGCCAGAGAGGGGAAGGGCTTGCTTTGCCTCCTTGGTTGGATTTGGTGCCTAGCTAGCTGAGCCTAAGGAAGTGGGATGAGTGCACAGGGATGTCCAGGAAACTGGAGGTGAGGTTGTTGTAGAGTGAGACAGGAAGCAGAAGAGGAGCCTACAGTGAGGGAAAGTGAGTGAAGCAGGAGGAGGAAGAGGGTGTGCAATGAGGAAGACTCAGCTGTGAGGAAGGCAATTTGCTGACTAAAGGATGAGCAGGAAAGAAGAACAGGACAGGAATATGGATGGTTAGACCACAGGCTTGGATGAACAGAAGGGCTGCCGTGTTTGTGTGTGTGTGTCTAGTTATGTGACTGCTGCCTTCACGATAATTGTGTCTGTTGCACATAAGTTTGTGTGCACGTACATGTTTGTTGCATGTGTTCACATTTATGTATATATGGTGTGTCTGTGTTTGTGTGTGAATGCTGCACATGTTTTTGTGTGTGTGCATATAGGTTGCATGTGTCCATGCAAGTGCTTGGCTGCTGTGCCTGTTTGTTTATGCCTGTGTGTGCAGATTGAAGGCAGCAACTCTGGGTGTAAGAGTCCAGGTGAATGAAGGAATGGTGTGGGCAGATTAGCTGGGTGATTAGAACCGAGTGTAAGGCTGTGTCTACACTGCCACTTTCAGCACTAAAACTTTAGTCGTTCAGGGGTGTGAAAAAACACACCCACGAGCCACAAAAGTTTTAGCGCTGAAAAGCGCCAGTATAGACAGTGCTTTGTCACCAGGAGTGGGATAAAGCTATCACCACTCGTTTGGGGTGGGTTTGTTTTTTTTATCGCCGGGAGAGCTCTCAGAGAGGACTCCCTGCCCTCTCCTCCAGCGGAACAGCACTGCCTCTGGCCCAGTGACAAACAACCCTTCCGACTGGGACACCACAATCCTCCACAGCTTTGTTTAGTTCTGTAAAGAAACCAGATTTCTCCTAATTTCTTTCTTTCTTTCTTTCTTTCTTTGATTGACTAATTTATTACTGTCAACATCCCCTCTATTGATATTAAATCCAGCCACATAACAGACACACTGCACATCCAGGTTCTTTCCTCGCTTCCAAGGTTTCCTAGCCAGACAGGCTGAGGGGAGTCTGCGGTTTACCCCCGGAGTGGTGATGCCGTCTTACTCCAGTCCTTTGTAAGGTGCTTTGTGAAGAGCTCTGTCCTGCTCTTTATACCCTGTTAGGGTGACCAGATGTGAAAAATTGGGACAGGGGGTGGGGGGTAATAGGCGCCTGTATAAGACAAAGCCTTGAATATCGGGACTGTCCCTATAAAATCAGGACATCTGGTCACCCTGTACCCTGTGGTAACACTCACTGCAATCAGGGAACCATACTCATGACTCAGAGAATCGATGAATTCCCAAGCCCTCAGGCTCTCCTGTCTGCCCCTAACTCCCAAGCACACTAGTGCCTGAATTCTGATTGGTGTATTACCCCTTCCAGGGGTGTTTCCCCCCCATGGTTACATGCAGTTTTAGAATTTTAGTTTACTCCTGACACAGAGAAATTCAGGGTCAGATTTGGCTCAGGCTGAATTTATCAAGAGGCACTGGTGGCCTGTATGTGTGTGCTGGGGGGAAGCCCAAGATGAATTACTTCATTACTGGGGAGGCCAGTGTCTCCGGATCAACATTCAGGGCCATTTAAGTGCAAGTGTGGATGGAAGCTCAGGGCTGATTGAATTCCCCAGTGTAGAGTGGGCCCCTCCTGCTGAGATCTAGATCTGTCACCCACTTGGATTGAATCTCTTGATAGAAAGATCACACCTCCCCCTTCTGAGCACTTTGCAAATCCATCAAACTTTCCTTCTTTTGTGTGTGCCGTGTGTTTTCCTCCTCCTGCTAATAATGCAGCTCAAGCTCATCTCCGTCTGTCCATTCCCCTTCTGGAGAGGCACATTCTCTAGTCTTTGCGAGTTCAGTGGCAGCGCACATAATTATGCATATAAGATATAAACAGAGCTGTTTAATTATCCTTCGCCACATCAGTGACAGAGTAATTAACAAACATTGCAAGATCAATGAGGAAAAGTGTGACCTTCAGTTTCCTTTGATAGGAAAGCCCTTGTCGTTCCCAGACACAAGGTGATTGCGCCTGGACTCGGTTCGTAGTTTGGTTTAATTCCCCTTCTTTGCCCCTCCCCCTCACCGTTTGCAGCTCGGATTTGCAAAAAAGCCAAATGGGGTGGGGGAAAGGGAGAAAATAGAAGTATGTGGCCAACCTTTGGGAACTAAAAAGAAGCCAGTGGTAAGAAGAGAGAGGGTTGCCGGCCATGTGCCTTTTTAGGTCCAGAGCATCAAAGGATCACACTCAAATGCATGCAGTTATTGTGAGCAAGCAGGCCACGAGTGTGCAAGCTAACAGCACATACAGTGCCCGAAGGGCAGGAGCAGCCATAGGCGTTGGACACACAAACAGAGGCACATGCAGGTTTCATGCACATGTTTTGAGAGTCCTGTTGGAAATGTGCCCCTGACATCTCCCTGTAAACCACTGGGTGAGGATTTCTGTCTTTGGGAAGGACTGAGTTCTCCTCGTTTTCTCTCTTCATTTAAGCCAATCCACTTGTAAATTCTGGGCTTGTCCACACTGGTATTCAGACCTGGTGTAACCGGATGCAACTCCCATTGACTTAGATGGGGCTGCAGTTGCTGACACCAGGGAAGAATTTGGCCCTGTGGCTTGAAAAAGCAGCTGTGTGGCCTACGAGCAGGGGAATGGGAGGCAGGATTGTAGCTCCAGGGTTGTGGCTTGTCAGGGCACTCACCTAGTTTATATGGCCTCCAGATAACTACCTAGAGACCTTTCAGCAGAGCTCCTTCCTCCCTCCCTCATTCACATCTTCCACTAAACTCTCCTAGGATCTGATCCTGCAGTCTCTGCCAATTTGCACCTTGACACCTTCTCCAGGGGATTTCTTTCTGCTGCCCAGAATCAAAAACCTTATCAGAATGGATTGAGTGGAGTATGCAGAGAGCTTGCTGAGGACTGGCCTGAGCGTCAGCATTCAGGGCCAGCTTTTCAAGCCCCCAGACTCAGAAGTAAGATGGGACTCAGCTCAGGAGACACAAAGAAAGGTGGAATCCCCTGTGGAGGGACAGTCTTGTTCTCTGCCTGGTTCCCTCCTCAGACACAGGAGATTGACAAGAGCTGGTCTGAATGCGAGTCAACTTCCAGCCTCACCTTGTGTGTCTTCCCATCTCTGACAGACAGGGAGCATGTGCCAAATCTGAAAAGCGGGTGTTTGTCCGGAGACGGGTGACAGAAACTGTCACCAACACACAAACATGCTCGCTCCTTCGTTCTCACACATCCACAATCCTTACACCCGGACTGATGCATGCTTCCCTACACATACTTTTATACACACTCGCTCAGATCTCCTACACGGTCGTACACACACCGGTCTTACAATCTGCCCCACAGTAGGACAGTAGGGATAGTCACCCAGAGCCTTTTCCTCACTGAGCTTTCAAAGTTTCTTTCATTTATCTATTTATTTGTTTGTTTGCTTTATTTATTAAGCCTGCTCCATCCATCAGAAGGTGAACATCTCCTCTTCTTCCCCCATTCCCTCCCATAAAGGGGTTTCCTCCCCACTTATAATTTCCTGGAGAACCTCCCGCACTAAGAAGCATTTCAGGGACCTGCACCAGTGCCCAGTTTCTCGCTTCTTTACCCTGTATCCCCCAAATTGGCGTGATTTCCCCTCCTGGCCAGGACAATGGACGAAGCCCCATCTGGGACGCCCCATCCCCCGGTGTCCAGACTTTGCGCTCCATTTGGGCTGTTTTGCTTTTCCTTCCATATATAGTGTGCTGCTGCGGGCTATTTTTAGCCCCCCCCCTTTTTTTTTTTTTTGCTTGCTCCGGATCCTTCGTGATACGATAGCTGCTCCGAGACACACAGATCTCTGCTCTTTGGCAATGCCCACAAATGGAGAGCAGCGGCAGTGGGAGAGGCAGACCCAGGGACCGTGCTGCCAGGGGCACAGGGGGTTCAGCAACTATCAGGGAGGAGCACAGCCTCAGTGCAATATCCTCTCTGCAAGGGTTCATTCCCCCCAGCTGCACCCGCCCCACTGTCAGGAATGGGGGACCAGGTGGCTCAGTGAATTGGGATCAGGATAATGCATCTGTTGGCCTCTAGGTCTGTAGTTCAACAAAATAGTTCCCAGCTCGTGGCTCTTTGGTGGTTTGTGTGAAATAAAGTGGGTGGGTCTCCCAGCAGGCCAGGTGTCCATGCTGCAGCCGCCACAGCGGGCTCTCACATACCTCCATCTCAGTAACCACAGCACAGAAGCCAGGGGCTTGCTGGGCTTTGGGGACTGTCTCTCGTGGGTGCACCTGCAGGTCTGGGTCGAGGCACGCCGGCTGGGCAGAGTGCAGAAGAAACCTGCCCTGCTTTGCCTGAGATCTGCCTTGTCGGGGATAAAGAGAGGCCACTAGGATGGTTGGTCTCCCAGAACCTTTAATGTGACCATCCAGTACTGATTTGATCAAAGGAGAAGCAAAGTGGAGGCCGTGACTTGTTGGACTGGGGGTGAACAGCCAGTTCAGGTGAAATGAGACGGGGCTGCTGTAATCCTCCCTGGGACCTGAGCTCCGCCCCAGACTCTGTCAGGTTTGGAAAAGCCCTGAGAGCCCCCCTCCCAGTCATTTTGTATTTTCAGTGGGGCTGGGACCAAAGGTGATTTCCAAGCGCAGTGGTGCAATTTTCAGCAGCTCACAGGGCAGCATCTCCCAGCCTCACAGGGTAATTCTGGGTTTCCCAGATCTTTTTTAAGGCTTTGGGTGTTAATCTGTGCAGGGTCTGAGCCAGCCTGGGAGCTGCAAAGTTGACCTAGAATGTGGAATCCAAAAGTTGGGTCTCCCAGCTGCTGCTTGCTTTGCTCTGCTCGTGCTTCAGGCTGGGAATTGGGCAGCCCAGGGCAAGGAGGTGCAGCTGGGGCGGAAGGAAGGGGGGCTGTTTCTCACCTCTTTGATCTCTCTATCAGTTCTGCCCTGAGATGGGGCAAAGGTTTTGTGGATTTTACCTAAACCACAACTTAGTCTCCCACCTGTGGTGGCTTCTGTAGGATTTTTCTGTGTGTGCATGTACGCATGCACACGCGGGTGATGGGCACAGCAAGGTTCTGATGAATGCAGGTCATCCCGACTCTTCAAGAGCAGGGGTAGGGACCACCTGGCCCTGCCTTCCAGGGCAGCCATTAAAGCCAGCAATCACTTGCGGGTTTAATTTCCTTTCAGATCCCTTCCATGCTGCCCTTTCCCCCTTGCAGTTTGACTTGGGGTGGATGGGGTTTCACCAGGCCTGGGAGTCTGGGGGATCATGAGGGAGACCAGGGATCACTTTACAGGTCCAAAGAGAGATGAAAAGCAGAAGAGGGGAGACAGATTTAGCAGGAACAGGAAAACCTTAGACCCAGGGGGGATTTTATGGGATTAATCACTTCCATTGGGGCTATAGGGTTACACTGGGGCGGGGGTGGAGAAGAGGGAAAGGCAGCAAAAGGGTGAAAAGCGTTAAAGCAGCAGGAAATGCTTTAATGCCTCGTCATGTGTAAGTGAAAGGTGATGCCCTTGGGATCCCAGAGTGGTGAGGGGCCATGGGAGGGTGGGAAAGGGGGAAGTTAAAATACCCCACCCCTGAGAGAGGAGCCCTAGTTTCCTGAGGGTTTTTGTCCCTTTCTTCCCTTGTGATGTATCATTTTCTGAGCATAGATATCAAACACGGGTGCCTAAGTAAGGGGGCCCGGTTCTGCATTCAGGCACTTGCCTAGACTGACACTGGGAAATTCACATGGCTATTTGAGGGCTGGCATGCCACTTAGGGACAGCACATAGAGGTCTGACCATCCTGCTGGAGGGAAACTGCACCCCTGGTGTGTGACTGTTTGGTCATCTGCTCTTATTCCTGGTGTCTGGGTATAGTACAGGTAGGAGCACGTGGTCTTTGGATCCAAGACACTGGTGCTTAGCCGTGGAAAGGAGCAGTGTGCGCGACCAACTCTGAGTGCTACTGTCCTGAATTCTATATCCTAGCTTAGCAGGCACCTCCTCAGACCTTTGCTGCAAGCATTAGCCTCATGCCCTGTGTCAGTGGGACTTTGGCAATTCCATGGCCATGTGCCGGGTACACAGGCCAGCACTGCAGCAGGGTTTATGCCCCATGTGCCTGGCTGCATTGGGCATCACTGATGTTGGCCCTGCAGAAGTTTTAAGTGCCCATTGCAGGGTCCTGTCTTCTCCGGGTGTCTCTTCCCCTGCACACCCTTGCTGAAGCAAACAGCTGGGGAGTCAAGACTGGACCTAGGAGTCTGCTTGTTGGTCAGGACAGTGTGTTCAGGAGCATTTGTGCATGTGTGTGTGGCACAGCTGTCTGTCAGATCCTTGGATCCCAGGGATCCATTTTAACCCCTGGGATCTGTCGAGCTCTTGCTCTTCCTCTCCTTCCTCTCTCAGATCTCTTCCTTTCCAGACGTCTTACAAGGCAGCACTAATTCTCTCTGCGCATCAAAACCATTGTGGCTTCTCCGTGTCAGGAACCCCCTTCCTGCTACTGCTGTACCTGCCCTCGCTGGCCCTCCCCCTCCCTATGAAAGATGGTGCTCGCCCACAAGAGTTAGAGTGAGTGATTGGGAAAGATGACGAGGGAGGTTTGAAGGACTCCTGCACACAGTAAATCTTCACTCTGCAGGAGAAAGCGAGAGGGAGAGGAGGAGGAGGAGGAGGAACGCTGTGTCAGACTGAAGCCTAAATGAGTCCGAGCTGGCACGTCAGAGCAATCTTTATTTCCTCCTTTACACTGATATTGGGTGACCTCCAGATCCGTGTTCTTCCCCTCCTGGTGACCAGCAAAACTGCCTGAGGGAGTGAGTGGGGGAGGAAGGGAGCTCCAGGGAGAACAGCCCTCCCCACTCTCCTTAGCACACCCCCAGGGAGAACAGCCCTCACCTCCAGCCCCCACCCAGGCAGAACAGCCCTCCCCACCGCAGTCAGCCCACATCCCAGGGAGAAACAACCCTCCTCCACCCAGTTTGCGTATCCTTGGGACAGCACAGCCTGCTTCCCTAGGGCAGTGTGGGGGTTATGGGTGCTCATAGCAGGGATACAGCTCTCTTTCCTGAACTTTAATGCTTTTGGGGGTCAGTAGGGGCTCCCCTCCTGCCCATCAGGCCTCAGAGGGAAATGCATAAGAGGAGCTTCGCTGAAAAGAGACTTTAGAAAAACAATGGCAGGGGTTGGAATGGCCATGGATCAGTGGTTCACAACCTGTGGCCCAATCAGCACACAGCTGTGGCCCACGTGACATCCTCAAGGCCATATGGGTAGTATATATAATGTGTGGCTGTCACCCACATAACACATAGAGAGCTGCATATGTGGCCCACAATGGTAAATAGATAGAGAATCGCTGCCATGGAGATTCACCCCCCCCTCCCCACAGCCTGCTCCTCTCTCTCTTCCTTCCCAACCTTCCCTTACCCTTCTTGTCTTACTTTCACTCCCCCCCGCCCCTCTTCATTTTCTCTCTCACCCCCTCATCTCCACACCTCTGCCACTCTCTGCTCATGCCTCCTACCCCCTCCTTTTCCCCACTCCACCTTGCCCCTCTCCCCTTGCCCCAAACACACGCTGCCTTCCCCCCCTCCCCTTCCCCCCCTCCAAACATATGCTGCCCCCCCACCCACTGGGACGGAGTTGCACAACCCTGGCATATTGGCACTGGCCTCACTTTCAGTAAAATTACTTTTTCTTCATATTAGGCCAAGGCAAGAGTGCAGAGACATTTATGAAACTTTGTTTAATGTACTGAAAAGCCATCGGCTAGAACATTTAGGAAATTGATTTTCCTGGCATTGATGAACTCTTTTTATTTTACCCCAGTATTAATTACTTTTTTTTTAAAAAACAAATTAATTTAAGAGTCGTAAAACCTAACAAGTGAGCCAAACGTCAGTAGATCATATTCCCCTCTTCCCCCCCCCTTCCCACTGCCGACATTGATACGGGAAAAGAGGAGAATCCACCCCTTGCGTGACTCTTTGTCCCTCCATCTCTCTGTAGGGGAAGCTTCGTCCCTGCGCGATTACGCTGCCACCACCATGAATGAATTCCTGGGCATGTTTGGCTACAACGACCAGAACATGCGGGATGAGCTGACCCGCAAGATCAGCTTCGACAAGCTGAACGCTGCTACCTCAGAGGCCTCCTCTGCCACTGCCTCCCTCCCTGGCGAGGACGCCATGAGCAAGCGAGCCCGCTTCTCCAAGTACGAGGAGTATATCCGCAAGCTCAAGGCCGGCGAGCAGCTCTCTTGGCCCATCCACCCAGCCAAGTCGGAGGAGCTGAGCTCCAAGCTGGGCAAGGAGCCTTCATCAGTGCTGACACAACCCATCCGAGCACTGCCGGGGCCAGATGCCACCCTGCTAACAGAGACCAAAGCGACCATACTGCCCTTGCCCTCTCCGAGCAGCTCCCAGATGCAGGGCCTGATGTCACGGGCCTCCAAGTACGACTTCTTCATCCAGAAGCTGAAGACGGGTGAGAGCATCAGGCCCCAGAATGGCAACACCTACAAGAAGGCCTCCAAGTATGACCTGGAGAACGTCAAGTACTTGCATCTCTTTAAGCCCGGCGAGGGCAGCCCAGACATGGGTGGGGCCATTGCCTTCAAGACAGGCAAGGTGGGCCGGCCTTCCAAGTACGATGTGAGGAACATCCAGAAGCTCACTCCAGTCAAGGCTCCAACACCTAGCCTGGCACCCAACCCTCTCGCCAGTACCCCCAGCAGCGCTCCAGTGGCTGGGCCTGAGCAGCCTGTCTCCTTGCCGTTCAATACCCCTGAGTACCTGAAGTCGACCTTCTCCAAGACGGACTCCATCACGACTGGGACGGTCTCTACAGTCAAGTAAGTCTCCTCCTATTTTTCTCTTCTTTGCACTTGTCAGGGAAACAAACTCGATTGCAGGGGGCAGTTTAAAAGGACGTTTGCTCTCCTGTGACACTGTCCTCCCCTTGATTTCTTCAGTAGAAGCTTTTTGATTCAAATTCTGGCTAATGGTTGAAGCCGGGCATGAGCACCTTCTTGGTTCTCACAGTCCCATTCCCATCCTGAGCCTAAGCTATTGGGCCTGCACTGGATCTGGGAATACAGTAGAGAAAAGTGCTGGGGTGATCAGTTCACCAGTTCCCATAGAGCAGTGGTTTTCAGACTGGGGTATGTGAGCTCTCGTCAGGGGGTATGCAAGAAAAATCCTGTAATGGCGGATAATATCCCTTATAGACCTTTTCTTTCTGTTTTCATCAGTATATTATGACCTGATCTCAGATGGGGGTGTGCAGTAGACTACACTATTCGGAAAGGGCTATGCAACCTAAAAGTTTGAAAACCACTGCCATTGGGCAAAGCCGGCATCAGCAGCTGAAGCCAGGAGCTGAGTTCTGGAGCCCAGGACCTTAAAGCAAAGATGTAGGAAGCCATGAAAGCTTAGCAGAGCATGTTAGTGAGAGTTACTAGGCTGTGGAACAGTCTCCCAAGGGAAATGGTGGAAATCCTGTTGTTCGGGACTTTTAAATCTAGGAACTCAGCCTGCAATGTCTGGGATATGGATTAGTTGTCTGATTGGCCCTCCTCATTGTTAACACCTCTGATTCTAAGCAAGGAAAAGTTCAATTATGGGGGTGTGAGGAACAATCCCCAGCATTGATGGGGTTCTAGCCTTCCTGAGCCCATCAGCTCTGATAGCCATGCACAGATCCCACCGTCCCCTCAGGACGTGTCTGTGGAAACAAAATGCAGAGAGAAGAGCTGCTGTCAATACGCACAGGTCAGAATCCTGGCTGCTTTCTTTCTCTCTGTCTTCCAAATCTCCTAAACAACCAGCCCTGCCTGGATTAGGGCCCAATTCTTTTCCCATTGAAGTCAGCGATTTGATGATTAGATTAGATGTTCCTGTGCTGTATGACACATGAGGCAACCCAGTGTTTCCACCTCCATCTGTCTAATGCCACGTTTCTTGCTCTGTTGTAATCTGTTTCCAAGATAGCAACATATTTCTCAATGGTTTTATTATAGGTCATCTCTTCTCCTCTTCTCCATCTTCCACCAAGTGGTATCCTGTCAAAGGCTTGTCTAGGAACACCGTTTTTTGACACGTTTACATGTCCAAACCACTTCAGCCTTCTTTCTTGAATCATTGTTTGCTGGTCAGTCCTTTATAACACATCAGCACTGGTTACTTTATCCCACCAGCAAACCCCAAGTATTCTCTGCAAGCATCTCTGATGGGATGTGTTAAGATTCTTGTTTTGGGCTTCTAGCATTTGCCAAGTTTTGGAAGCATATAACAATATGGATATTACAGTGACATTGTATAACCTTATCTTGGTCCTTGTGTAAATCTCTCTATTTTTCCAAACATTTGCCATTCTCAGAAAAGCTCCACTTTCCTTCCCAGTTCTTGCTTTCACCTACTTATGGGGTTGGCCATCAGCAGTCATTGTGCTTCTGAGATATACGAACTCGTTAACCATGTTGTCTTCTTCACCGTCAATCACATATACACCAGTACTGCTGGCTCTTTCAACCATCTTCCAGCGATCTTGAGGTCAGTTGCGTAACTCCCATTGACTTCACTTACATGTATCTTTTCAATCTGACCCATTTCTTACATAGATGGACATGGTTCAGTAAAACTTCTTCTCAGCTTTGGCAGGGAGATTCACGTGCCATGTCTGACAAACCCACTGCCCCAGTTGGCACCAGTAGCCACCCCCTGCCTTGTTGGCACTCTGCACAGGGGTCAGGAATTGAATGAGCTATGAAGAAATCCAAAGGCTTTGTCTGTACTAGGATTATTTTTACTTTTGCTACCACTGGTGCAGCTCCACAGGCGGTAGCACTTGGGGAGACACCAGTGTAGACAAGGTGCCCAAGCACCTTAAAAACCATGTTGTGTAGACCTGCTCTGAGTAGGGTTAGGTGCCATAGCACTTAAAACACCAGAGGCTGCTTGGAGGCTTGTCTGTGCTAGGTTCCAGGCGGTGCCACTGGAATGATAGAAACAACGGTGGGGAATCCTGGTATAGACACAGCCCTAGAGGTGACCCCTCGAGGTAAGGACTGAGGTACATTGGCTGGGCATTGAGGGCAAAACTAGTACAGCTCCCACTAATCTTCTGTGCATAAACAAGCCTTGGGCTCTCCCATCAATCTGGCAATTTTCCCCAGCATTCAGTCAATGAAAAATGGCTCAACATCCACATTTGCTCCTCCTTCTCCAAGACCTCACATATAAGAACATAAGAATGGCCATACTGGGTCAGAACAAAGGTTCACTTAGTCCAGTAACCTGTCTTTCAACAATGGCCAGTGCCAGATGCTTCAGAGGGAATGAACAGAACAGGACAATTCACAAGTGATCCATCCCCTGTCATCTAGTCCAAGCTCCTGGCAGTCTGAAGTTTAGGGACTCCCAGAGCATGGGGGTGCATCCCTGATCATCTTGGCTAATAGCTATTGATGGACCCTATCCTCCATGAAATTCTCTAATTCTTTTTTGAACCCAGTTATACTTTTGGCTTTCACAATATCCCCTGGCAAGGAGTTCCACAGGTAGACCGAGTGTTGTGTGAAGTACTTTCTTATGTTTGTTTTAAACCTGTTTCCTATTAATTTCACTGGGTGACGCCTAGTTCTTGTGTTAGGTGAAGGGGGAAATAACATTTCCTTTTTCACTTTCTCCACACCATTCATGATTGTATAAACCTTTATCATATCCCCCCTTAGTCTCTTTTCTAAGATGAACAGTCCCAGTCTTTTTAATCTCTCCTCATATGGACGCTGCTCTATGCCCCTCCTCATTTTTATTGCCCTTTTCTGTACTTTTTCCGATTCTTTTTTTTTTTTTTTTTGAGGTAGGCCAACAGTATTCAAGCTGTGGGCATACCATAGATTTATATCATGGTATTATAATATTTTTTCTCTTAATATCTATCCTTTTCCTAATGGTTCCTAACATTGTTAACTTTTTTGTCTGCCGCTGCACATTGAGTGGATGTTTTCAGAGAACTATCTATGATGAGGCCACAATCTCTTTCTTGAGTGGTAACAGCTAATTTAGACCCCATTATTTTGTATGTAGAGTTGGGGTTATGTTTTCCAATGTATATTACACAACACTGAATTTCATCTGCCATTTTGTTGCCCAGTCACCCGATTTTGTGAGATCCCTTTGTAATACTTCACAGTCAGCTTTGGACCTAGCTATCTTGAGTAATTTTGTATCATCTGCAAACTTTGCCACTGCACTGTTCACCCCTTTTTCCAGATCATTTATGAGTATGTTGAACAGCACTGGTTCCATGTGCAGATCCTTGGGGGACCCCATTATTTACCTCTCTCCACTATGAAAATTAACCATTTATTCCTACTCTTTGTTTGGTATCTTTTGACCAATTACTGATCCATGAAAGGACCTTCCCTCTTATCCCATGACTGCTTACTTTGCTTAAGAGCCTTTGGTGTGGGACATTGTCAAAAGCTCTCTGAAAGTCCAAGTACATTATATCCACCGGACCACCACCCTTGTCTAATAGATTGGTGAGACATGATTCCCCTTTACAAAAGCCATGTTGACTCTTCCCCAAAATATAGTGTTCATCTACGTGTCTGATAATCCTGTTCTTTACCACACACCAAGATCATGTGGAGAAGAGGAGCACATGATTGTGGCCACGTGTAGAGTTTAGACAGGCTGTTTCTGCAATGAAAACTCTACAGCCCTGGTACATGGGGTCAGACTAGATGATCTAATGGTCCCTTCTGACCTTGAATCTCAAAATCTCTGGGTGCAAATAAGGAGGAAGGGGCGTTGTTTGCTCCATTTCCTTGTTCCTTGGTCTGGATTCTCTTGCCTCTCACTTGGCGCCTTGTTGAGGCCTGAAATATTTTTTGCGTGAGATAGCTATTGTCACCCTTTATCACGGTTGCCTGGTTTTGCTCACACATATTCACCACAGAGACCTCTGTGGCAGCTGAGGGGAGAGGCCCCTGCGTTCTGGCCCTCCTGCCTTTCCACTGGTTTAAGCACCAATAGCTTTGGGTTGTGGAACTCAGTTGGGACGTTTCTGAATTGACTTTCTGATGTCAGCCCCTGTGTCTGTACAGCCTGTTCAGTGCATCGGTCTGTTTTTTGTCAGCCAGGAGTCCCCTTGGGTCATTGGTAGCAGGGCCAGCACCTACGTGCCACGTGTTGTGGGATGATAGATCCTATTGAGTCCACCCAGCTGCCTCATCCCTGTAGAGAGGAAGGCTGATCTTGTGGTCAGTGTATAGGCCTGGAGCCAGGAGACTTGAGTTGTTTCCCTGAGTATGACAAAGTTGCGCTATGCAATCTCAAGCAAGTCACCCTCCCCTATGCCTCAGTTTCCCTGTGTGTAAGGCAGGGGTAATGATATCTATCTCCTGTGTGGCACAGATTAATACATTACTGTCTGCAAACAGCTTTCGGTTCCTATGGTTTAAGTGTATGGAAAAGGGCAAAGGTTTGTTATCAGTTGCAGCTAAATTCACCCGGCCCCCAATCTGGGGAGCCCTTTAACCACCCCAAAATGCCCTGTCTGTTTTGTGGCACATTGTTTCATTAGATGATAGCATTATCCACTTTGCTGGCTGTGCTGTGGAGCCCACGCCTGCCCCCGTGGTGCAAGTCTCCCAGCTGTGCCAAGAGCCTGTTGTAAATGCCTCGTTACTGAGCTCTCACTCGCTCTCTTTCTCTCCTGGGTTCATTGGTGTCTCTTGCTCCAGACGGCAGGTAGGGGTGGCTGTTGTTATGAACACTGGATTATAAATATGTATATATGCACAGCACCTTATCATGATCAATCCCCAGGTCTGCGGCTCCTTGACAGAGGAAGCCAATCAAGAGTCTCAAGGACACCCGGACACCCCTTTGATATCTCTGCTCCCATACCCATGTGTGTTGGGCATTCTGGAGCTTCACCCAGGGGCTGCTCACCAACCCTGCTTTGCTTTTGCTTCTCCTTAGGATCCCGGTTTTATTTCCTTTCTCTCACCCTCTCACTCTTTCATTTCTGCGGCGGATGGGGTTCACAATGGCTCAATGATCCTTTCTCTAACCACAGGACTTCCTGGGGCTGGGGGAGGTGGGAAATGCTGACAGGGGTGCAGCTGGCAATGGGGTTTGCACTGAGGCTTCTTCCCAGCTGCTCTCTCTCACACACACACGTGCCTGCGGGTGCATTTAATCCTTTGTAGCTTGGGGTGGTGTTTCCATGGGGTTGTGATTCCTCCTCCTTCAGGGCTCTAATTGGTGCCCACTAGGTACGTTCCCTGGAGGAACCCACTTCCACCAGAGTAGAGGTAGTTCTCTGTCCTCTGTTCTCGACACATATGGCAGCTGAACTGGACACACACCAGTAGTAATATCAGGCTTCTCCCTCACCCATCAGCTGACCACACCTGTGGGTAACCGAGGCTTGGTGGGTGCCAGCATTCTGCCTTTCCCTGAGGCAGCCCTGCCATGTAGATGGGATGTTGACACACTCCAAATTTTGGCATGCTCTGGCTCAGTGTCCCTCGGATGCTAATACAGCCTCTATCCCCCACAACCGCAGCAGGGGACTGAGCTACACTTCCCAGCTTGGGGACTCCCCCAAACTGTGCTGTCCCTGTGTTGGTTTGAAGGATGGCTGTGAAGCATCCAGAGCAGTCTCCCAAGGAGCTGAGAGGGGTGCAGGAGACAGAATATTAACTGAGCTAGTGAGGATGGTGCTAATTACGTGACCTGGGACCTGGCCTTCCATTCAGAATCCCCTCCAGGACCAAACGCCCTTGTGGGAATCACCCCCTCGCTGTCACACATACACACACAAGCCAAGGGGGTGAACTCTATAACCCCTAATGCTGTTAACATGGGCGAAACTCATGTACTGACTTCAAATGACTGCAGTGCAAGTTATAGGTGTCCTGGTTTAACCAAGATGCAGAGCTGCCATGCATCCATCAGGGGCCCAAGGAGGCAGGAGGAAGTCCAATTGCAGTCCACTCTCTCATCAGCCAATTCTCTAAGACCAGCCGTCATGTTTTTAGCAGGCTGGGGCCCAGGCCTGTGGGTCTGTTCTGTGACTTTTTCTCTCTGTTGCTGGAGAACATCCACCAAGACGTACTTTCTGGCCACGTTTTAAGGAAGATGCCTGTTGGAGCGAATGTGATGCCTGGGTGCAGTTTGGGTTTGATTTTTAATTACAAAGCTACATCTGCGGCCCAACTGGTGTGATTGAGTTTGGGTGCCCCATGACAAAGAGGGCTGTCAGGGCTACTGGCAGGATGTGTGGAGAATGCAGTGAAAGCCATGTTGTGGAGTCCAGGTTATAAATGCACCCTCTCAAATGGTCACAGCATGGATCCGTTCTGTAGTGCAGACCGGTGCTCGCGGTGCCCTGATCAGTGCTAGAGTCACGTGCTCTCCAGCGGTTCCGCAGTTGGAGTACGTCTTTGAGGTCTCCCTGCTTTACAAACTGGAGCCTTGTTGTAACAGAGTGGGGCGGTCCGTGTTTTGACTCAGCCACTGGTTTTGTGTAGACAGAGCCAGTGGTGCCTATGTGATGTTTATAAGAGCATAATTTAAGGGTAGGTCTTCTCAGCCCCTTCAGGAAATGAAATCGAGCCCTGGGGAGAGGAGACCTGCAGGAAGGGAGGTAGGTGGGTTACATTAGCAGGAGTCCAGTGCCCCGAGAAAGAGAGGGCACACGGGCATGGGGGGAGGTTACACAGGCATATATCTCTGCTGCTTACTGTTCCCAGAGCCCTCTTCCCTGGCACACTCAGTGCTGCCTGAGAGACAAGGAGCTTGGACTGTGCCCTGACACTGCCTGCTAACCAGCTCTGCCCTGTGTGTTTCTCATTAGGAACGGATTACCCACTGACAAACCAGCTGTCACCGAAGATGTAAATATTTACCAGAAATATATTGCCAGGTAGGCAAATCCCTTGGCTTTCTTGGGGAGGAGGCTGGGTGGGAGGGGGCATGGGATGGAGGGGGTGGGGTCTCGTCTGTCTGTCCGGGTGAAATGTATAAACCAGTCATGGACACTGAGTCTTCCATTTCCCTCCGACATCCACACTGACTCTGTTCCCCCCTCTGGACAGTAGTAGCTGGGGGAGGCATGCAGGGAGCTGAGAACAAACCAAGGCTCCACCCCATGAGAGCTCTCTTCTCCCCACACTCCTTAGCTAACCCCATAGAGAGTGGAGAAGTGTTTCAGGGCAGAGTTTGGGCCTTAACCCAGTGCCTTGTGTGGCAGCTTCTTCACAAGAGAAACCCAGCACTGGATGAGGGTGCAGGATGGAGCAGTGTGCCAGAGCTGTGCACAGGCTCTGGTCTGGAACAGGAAGGGGGGCTGCAGGACAGGAGTGAGGGGCATTGGCAGAGCTTTGCAGGGAAACCCAGGGCTGGAATAGCAGAGGGAGCTGGTGCAGATCAGAAGTGAATGACATTGGCAGAGCTGGAGGGAATGTTTGCACAGCACCTGCCTATGCTATCCTTGGCCCTAAACAGTGCCATCAGCCCCTGACCCAAGCCTGATGACTCCTCCCCCTCTGCTGCCAGGGAGCCAGATCTGAAAGCAGAGGGCCTTGAGTGGCATAAGAATTGACATCCTTCAGGGAAAGCAGGCAAACCAACCTCACCTCAAGAAATTAAACCAAAAAGTTTGCTCCTGTCAGTGCCAGGGTATCGAGCCTGCAGGGAGGCTCCCTGGGGTGAGCCATGGGTGTGGTTAAGCAGGAATGGGGAGCTCTCCCTTCAGCTGAGGAAGAGGGAGAGCTGTGGGGGAGGACTGCTCCCCCAGCCCTGGGAGAAGAAGGTGAGGTGTGCTCCCCCGATCTCCATTATCTTAACCCCTGGTGTAGGAGGTGAGAGGGGCAGTAGGGAAGGCGAGATGGGAAGACAGAAAAAGACAAGTCCATTACCAAGTCACAGTCCCCCAGCAGCAATGCCTCTGGCTGCTCACTTGCTCTAGGGAGAACTGGGTACCTGGTCAGAGTTTTAGGCCCAGGTTTGCCTAGATAGAGGCAGAGGGGGGCTGATGAGAGCTGAAATTGGCTCCTTCCTTGGGTACCAAACCTCCATCCTCTGTCGCTGCCAGCAGCTGTGGAGCATTGAGGGGACAGTAAGAAGCTGGAGACAGAGCTCCTCTTGGCTACGCTCCGTGGAGAACAGTGTGGTTGCACTGGTTTAGCAGAGAGAATTCATCCCTTTATCCCCGGCTTCTCTCACAAGCAAAGGACCCCTTTAAACACCTCCCCTCCTCATCCCCTTTTTCCCCAGGCTCAGACAGTTCACCAGGGAGGCCTAGAAGACAGCTTTGGGACACCACTTCCTGCACAAAAAGCTTTGCAAGCTGCCCGTTGGCAGCCTGGCCACTTCCCTTTAATTTACACGTGGTTTTAAAAACTGTTTAAAACTTTAAAACAAGTGAGGGGGGAGGACAGTGTGTCTTTGCTGCACAATTAGCTTAATGAGTTTGCCAAAGCCATTGCCAAAAGCTGCCCAGGGATAATCCATTGTCTCACACAACAAAAGAAAACCACATACTTAGCTAGTTTGGGCTGGGTTGGTCTTTTTCCATCCTGTATATTTATAATTTTTTTTCTGTGGTCTTTTCTTTCCTTTTTCTTTTCTTTTCTTTTATTTATTAGTGCCTGAGCAGATGGTACTTCTGGCAGCTCTTACTTAAATATTTATTTCTGTGGGTATCCCCCTGCCTTTTAATTGAGGTGGGGTTTTTTCCTCCTCCTGTCACATCATCGTTACAGGGTAATGAGTCTGTAAACACTCACTAAGCACACTGATGACTTTATTTATTATTTTTATTATTATTTATTTATCTTGGTGTTTCTTGCTAGCTCCTGCCAGATCTGGGACTGGCTCCCGCTGGCAAAACAAGGGAGTGAAACAAAAAGGGGGGGGAAGAACATGTGTGTGCATATGTATCTGTGTGTGCAAAGTGCGTCTGTTTGCAAGTAGGTGTGTGTGGAATTGTGACTGTGAGTGCATACCTGTGCATATGTGTGTTTGCACGTCAGTGTGCATGGAATTGTATGCGTGTGCATGTGGATATGAGTGTGTTTTAAATGTATGTGTGCTCTTGTAAATTAGCAGGGGTTGAGTGCGTATAACTTAGCAAGTGTGTACGTGTGTGTGTGTGCATGAGTGTGCGTGTAAGTTAGTGTGTGGTGTGTAAGCTTTCCTGTTTTGAAAAACTAAACAGATGCTGTGCGTTAAAAATTAATTGCTTTGAACTATTGCAAGTGTCAGAAAAAGCAGAGGATGAATATAACCCTTTAGGAGCCTAACCTTTTAATATTGAAACATAGCTACAGTTCTGCCTGTCTGTCCACTTAGCCCTCATTCCCCAAAACAGAGACCCCAAAACACACTGTACCTCAGAGTGCCATGCCTCGACCTTCCCAAAAAGAGCCCAGTTATCCAATGAGTTTCCCACCCCACACTCTCCCCGTCCCTTCCCCCTATTTCAGACACCTCCATACACACACAAACACACTTCTGTAGCATAATTAACTCCAGGGTGGAAGGAGGCCTGGAGTCTGAAGTGCCATCCCCAGTATTACTACAGCACTTGTCTGGCTCCTTCTCGTAAAGCTGAGCCCAAGAGTTCCTCCTGTCGCTGCCTCTAGTTACTCGTGCCAGATGTGGGATTCCTTTAGGGCCTTGCCCTTTCCTTAGCCTTACTCAGCATCCCTGGTTGTTGCTCAAATAACCTCGTGGGCAGCTCTGTTCACTTGTGAAGTGCGTGAATGTCAGTGAGGTCCCGTCTTCATCTCCTCTCTGCCCCACAGTGCAGATTGGCTTCTCCCGGCCTGCATCTCGCTCATTATCCTTTGGTCTCCCTTTCCCGTCTCACCAACAGGGCTGGGAGGAAATCTTCCCCGTGAGCAGGGTATCCTATAACTGTGGTGTTTCCTACACCTGCCTCTGAAGCTACTGGCGCTAGCCACTGTCAGAGACAGGACTCTGGACTGGATGGACCTATGGGCCTGATCTGTTGCAGCAGTTCATGTGTAATGACAAGGTGGACAGGTCTGCAGTCACCTTTCCAGTCCTAGTCTGGCAAGTCCCATTTAGATAGGGTTGGCCTCGTTTCTTCTCCTTCCTGTTCCATGCCTTTGTTTATGCAGCCCAGCATCATTGTTTGCCTTTTGGTTTGTTTCTCCACTGCTGCTAAGGTTTGTTCCAATTTCTCAATCACCTGTTCTGGCGTGATCCTGATTTTCTGCAGTATTTCTTCTCCATCCCCTGGGAAAGGCATGTCTGTTTCTGGCATCTGTCCCCATCTCCCTTTGTGAATGCTGAGGCAAGGAAGTCATTTAATTTTTTAGCAGTGTCTATCTCCTCTGTCAATTAAGTCCCCTTTCCATCTCCTGAAGGCCCTGCTGTCTCCACAATTGACCTCCTCTTCCTTATGTACTTCAGAAATGCCTTATTTATTACTGCTCTTTGCCCCGGCTCCCTTTCATCCTCCAACTCAGCTTTGCTGCATGGTCTGGCAATCTGAAACTTTTGGTTCTTTTATCCCTCCTCCTATCCTGTCCCCTTATCATTCCCTCCTGCACCCCCTCCTCCATCCTACCTATCCCTTTGTTTTATCCTTCATTCCTATCTGCCCTTTCTTGCTTCTCTCTCATGCCTTTTCTCATGTGCAGTCCTAGTCTTTTTAGTGCTGGGTGACATGTGGAACCCTTGAGCAGATGGTAATTTATCTTTGAATGTTTCCTCTCTGAGTCCCCTTCCCTCCGCTGCTTTATCCATTTCAAGCTCTCCAGCTCTTCCACATTCCTCCACAATATGCTCAGTAAAATTCATTGTCTTGATTATCCCTTTTCCAGCTTTTCCCTTATTGCCGATTGCAGATCTTTCTTTCTTTCTTTCTTATGTGCTCAATTGTAGTCTGTGGAGCAGCTGCTGGTGGTCTGCAGAGAGCTGGCTGTGTCACTTGGTGCTGGCTGTTCCTACTTATATCCCACTACTAACTTGCACTAAAAGACAGCCCAAAATACATGTGTACCCTCCTAATGCTACTTTTCTGTGGAAGCAATTGCTGTAGCTGCCACAGGGATGCTATGCGATTGCTAATGATAGGTAGTGATCCGTTCTGTTGTGACTGAGAGGAGACATGTCCACAGGACAGTCTTTCAGCTGTCTGTGTAATTTACCTGTAGAATTACAAGTATCTTCTGTACAGGTTTGTCTACAAGTATCTTATCTGATTTATCTCAGGTATTTTTTTCTACCTGTCTACCTGTTGTATCTATATCTACCCATCAGTCTGTCCAGCTGTCTAAGGTATAGAATCATAGAATATCAGGGTTGGAAGGGACCTCAGGAGGTCATCTAGTCCAACTCCCTCCTGCTCAAAGCAGGACCAATCTCCAATTTTTGCCCCAGATCCCAAATGGACCCCTCAAGGATTGAACTCACAACCCTGGGTTTAGCAGGCCAGTGCTCAAACCACTGAGCTATCCCTCCCCCCATCTATGGTAGACATTCTCTGTACTGGTATCTATCTAATCCACTGACTCTTAACTTTTTCCATCATGTGACACTCCTCCTCCCCGTTCAATCTAGCCATACATAAAGAGAGGGTGCTTGTGACCCCCTGGATCTGATTGAGACCCACTACGGGGGTCCTGACCTCCAGATTGAGAGCCTGTGATTGATCAATATATCTATCTATCCATCAATCATATGACATTTCTTAAGCTCTCATCACTGTAATATCTAGGTTCCAGATACATAATTAGGAATATTAGGAATCATATTAATTTTTCCTCAAAGAAATATGTTCTCTTACCCTACCTAGATGCAGGCATTTTATTTAATGGGACATCCATGTTTTAGTCTCTCTCCTCCTTTCTTGTTTCCCTTCTCTGTCCATGATGGCCAGCTGTTCTTCAGCCATCATTATTGAGAGAGGCTTACTCAAAACTAGCCTTCATGGCATAACTACCCTCCATCTTATCACTTCATCACCACACGCTGAGACACTCCTGGCTTCCACACCAGCCCCAAGCAAAGGGTAATCTCCTACTTGCTAGTCATTCACAGTCTGATTTTGGGCTGTTGCCTCATCCCGTTGCCCAGCCACATCCAACGCTTCATAGTTCATTTGTGGGAACAACTGGAGCCAGAACAAATGTCGCCCACCTGGAGTCCATTCAGCATCTCTGGTCTCACTCTCCCTGACACCTCCCTTTTCCCTCCTCTAAAAACCCTTGGATTTACCCCCCAATTGATTTTCTGTCTCTGCCATGTCTCAGCTAAGCCCTGGTGCCAGAGACTCCCAGGAGAGGAGAGCACTCCCTGTCCTTTGCTTACTTCCCAGTCTTGTTGCACTTGCAGCCTGGGGCATCTTAGCAATCTTCCCCATTCTGAGCGACTGTATTGCCCTGTGAAGTGAGGTGGGGAGAAGAAACCTCCCTAGAGGTTTCCTCCTCTCTCTTCTCTTTCCTTTAGACTTCTGCATTCCTTGTTTCATTCTGTAGATTACCTCCTCTCTGCTGACCTTGCCACATACTCAGGCTGCATCTTCCTTCTATTATTCTGGCTTCTGGAGGGGCTTCTTCCCCTCCTCAGACACCTGCCCCTTTCCTTCTGCAAGCTAGGTTTACCCACTGACAGCTCTGGCATGTGTACCCAATCCTCTGTGTCTGAAAGCCACAGCCGCCTGTGCTGTGCAGCACCCCTCGTGCCCCTGGGATTCCAACAGGACACCAGTTTAAAGTGGCAGCACAGCAGTTGTGAGAGCAGAGAGGTCCACAACTCTATGCATCCCTCAGCCATTTACTCCCTTCCCTTTTGGTGTAGCCAATCCATCCTACAGCAAGTGCCCGCTGGACCCAGCACCCCGTTAATACTCTGACTCCTCATCTGTTGTGACACCCAAACGGCATCTTAAGCTCATGACTGTGCACCCAATTTTTTTCATATTGAGTCACTGCACCCACACCAGCAGCTCTCCCCTGTCTCCATTTTCTTCTTCCCTCCCCATGGGTGGGTTTTTCACCCTTGCTTTCCCCAGGCTCTTTGAGAGTTCCCATCTTTACCATCCCCCATGTACAAGCTCATCCTCAGCTTTTCCCTCTGACAGTGTCACTATGCAGTTCTCTCTCCCCTCCTGGGAGCCAGCTGATGCACTCGCCACCCAAAATGGACTCTGGCATCAGACTTCTCTTCCCTCACATATCACATCATGTGGCAAGTTTCCCGCCTGGGGCCATTGCCCAGGGCACCCTGGGAGAGTCCACTGAACTGCAATAAAGATAAGTGCAAAGTGTCCTGTGCTTAGGAAGGAAAAATCAAATGCACATCTACAGAATGGGGAATGACTGGCGAGGTGGTAGTACTGCTGGAAAAGATCTGGGGGTTCTAGTAGATCACAAATTGATGAGTCAACAGTGTGATGCAGTTGCGAAAAAGGCTAATATTCTGAGGTGCATTAACAGGAGTATCGTGTGTAAGACACGGGAGGTAATTGTTCCACTGTACTTGGCATCGCTGAGTCCAGTTCTGGGTGCCACACTTTGGGAAAGATGTGGATAAATTGGAGAGAGTCTGGGAGAGAGCCACAAAAATGATAAAAGGATTAGAAAACCTGACGTATGCAGAAAGGTTAAAGAAAACAAGGCATATCTAGTCTTGAGAAAAGAAGGCTGAGGGGGACCTGATAATAATCTTCAATAGGGCTGTTATAAAGAGGTGATCAATTGTTCTCTGTGTCCAGTGAAGAGTAGGACAAGAAGTAATGGGGTTAATCTGCAGCCAGGGAGATTTAGGTTAGATGTTAGGAAAAACTTTCTAACTCTAAGGGTAGGTAAGCTCTGGAATAGGCTTCCAAGGGAGGTTCCAAGGAATCCCCATCACTGGAGGTTTTTAAGAACAGGTTGGACAAACACCTGTCAGGGATGGTCTAGATTTGCTTGGTCCTGTCTCAGTGCAGGCGGCTGGACTCGATGACTTCTCAAGGTGCCTTCCAGTCCAACATTTCTAGGATTCTATGACTTCAGTAGGCCAGACTGGTATTGTGCCTTTAAAGCTTTGGCTAGGACCATCTCTCCTCTCATACCCAAACAGAAACTCCAGAGTGACCAATTACCAAGGAGAGGAACAGCCTTGTTTGAGTCACAGAAGGTGGGAATGGAGGGTGTGTGGCTCAGGGCTGGTAGTCGGCTGAGCAGCCTCTCTCTGCAAAGTCACAGGTTCAAATCCTGCCCAGGTATTGACTGGGAGCTGTTGCTCTGCGACGACTGTTCTGTGACTCCTGTGATAGGAATTGGTGGGCCTTATTCCATGGCAAGTGTCACAAAACCTACACCTACCACCCCCTGCTTTGTGTTGGCAGTCTCAGCAGAGGCCAAGGACTGACTGGGCCATGGATACTTCTATCTTACCCCTGGGGAGGGCCTCCTGCAGGACAACAGACTGGAGCACAGTGCTTGGGGGAAGCTTGCAGTGCTGCTGCCCTGTTCTGTAGAGAGAGGACTTCAGTCCCCCAGACAGTTGGGCAGGGTCGTTAAACACACTCAGAGCACCGGTTTCGTTTCTCCTTGGGCTCTCTGTGGGCACAGAGGAGGCAGGATTTGCCCCCTAGAGATGAGCCTGCAGAAGGAAAATCGCGTGTTTCTCTCTTCCCCCTTCCAAAAGTGTAAGTAACCCCCATTTATTATCTTGTTTTGTGCCGCCGTGAGACACTCTAATTTCAAGTATGCCGCTCTTCAACTCTCAGTGAGGCAGAAGAAAAAATCACCTTTTTTTTATGGTGTAGCGGAAAAGCAGCTGCTGGCACCCTGCTTAATTGAAATGCAAATATGGCACATTACAGCTTATTCCCCATCTCTCTCCTGCTGCAACAAGTGGCCTTTGCAATCCTTTAGTCTTTCTGCTCCAAAGGAGCCGAGAACCGCACACCCATCTGCAACCTTTCTGCAGCCCTCAGGCCTTCTCCTCTGTTTTCTTTTGCACCTTATTCTGGTGTGCTGGCTTTTGCCTGAGAATACTGTGGTAGTGCTTTCTTCATGGCTCCAACTGCGGCTCCCTCGATCTGATGTCCTAGATTCTGGTCCTCGACTCAGGACGGGCAGGAATAGGACAGTGGGGGAAGGATGTTTAGCTACGGGTGGAGGGGAAATATTGATCAGGTTCCAATGGACTTTGTGTCTGAGATCTTCTGTGATTTCTTGGAAAATGATGTTTCAAGACTTTGCATCCCTGCATTTTGGGAGTAGCAGCAAGACGCTCACCAGACTCAGGAGTGATCCAATGGGGCGGGATGAGAATAAGGTCAATTTCAAAGAGCTGAGCAATGATATTGGCTTGGGATGTAATGATATAAAACCTCGTTAGAAATGGGGCTTCTGACTGGAAGGGGACCCTCTTTCCTTCAGCTCAGTAGCACTGAAGAATTGCATTTCCCCTGGGGGCCGAAAGAATAGGAATCTTTGTCTCCTCGGTACACTCTGGTGACGGATAAGTGTAGACCACGCTGCAGGAGGACAGGGGGAAGGCCATACTTGTTTCACTTGCACCTTGATTTGCAGTTACCATCCTCAAAGAGCATCAGTTTCATTCTTTTTCTTGCCTGTGTTGCCAGGTTCTCTGGGAGTCAGCACTGCGGACACATACACTGTGCATACCAGTACCGGGAACATTACCACTGCCTCGATCCGGAGTGCAACTATCAGGTAAACGGGGTGAACATGAACTGCCAGATCCCATTGCCTGTCCTTACTGTCAAGGGATACAGCCTACAGAACTCCATCATGAAACAGATCATCTGCTTTCTCCATGTCCTGGGAAGAGGGGGAGATACAATTTGGAACTATTGGAGTCAAATTCTGTTCCCAGTTACAATAGCCTAACCCTGCTGAACTCAGTGGTGTTATTCCAGGTACGCACCACTATAACTGAGAGCAGAATCTAGCTTAATTTAAATCAGTGGGTTTACTCCAGATTTACACCAGTGTAACCAAGAGCAGGATCTGGCTCAGCTAAAGTCAGAGGAGTTCAGATTTACACCAGCGTTGCCAAGAAGATAAATTTAGCTATGTTATAAATTTTGCCTGAAAATAGGGAATGCTGTCTGTCAGTCTGTCTCTGAGGTTGTCCATGCAACATGAGAGCAGTAGCAGCAACAAAACACCCAATAAGACCAGCAGCAGCCTTGGATCTATGGTTGGGGAGAGGGTGGGGGAAGGGGCATGTGCAGTAATTGCTGGGAGAATTGCCAGGATAGCAACATTAAGCCAGCTCTGAGTCACGTGCCATGTTTGTTTACCCTCTTTCCAGGTCTGTGAGCATGGCTCTGCCCTCTCTGTGGTCAGACTGTGTGTAGGGATGGGGGGAAATCCCAGAGTTTGCCTCTACTCTGCATCCAGCCCAAGGAGGCACTTTGGTCTTGGGGGAATGAGTCTGACCACAGCAAGGGAAACCAGTTTGACTCCACTCTGTTCGACTTCAGGTTTCAGTTGATCAGACTGGGGTTTTTCCTTGGGATGTTGCTAGTGACCCAGAGAGGGACGATCAGATGGATGCATCCGATGAAGTGGGCTGTAGCTCACAAAAGCTTATGCTCAAATAAATTTGTTAGTCTCTAAGGTGCCACAAGTCCTCCTTTTCCTTTTGCGAATACAGACTAACACGGCTGCTACTCTGAAACCAATCAGATGGAGAGCTCTCAATCACAGCACAGAGGTCTCTGTGCACAGAGAGCAGGGGGGACACAAAGGATGGAAAGACAGAAAAACCTATTATTATGATTGGCCTCATGATTATTTCCCAAGGAGTCCAGGAGCTGCTTGGCTGGTCTCACAGGGGAATAAGGATTTAGGCTGCTTTTTAAAATGCAAATTATTTTATGGCTGAGATATAGTTTATAATAAGTAACGCTCTGTAATAAATGGGCACAAATGAACGGTGATTGGCAATGGGAATCCTGTACGTACACCATGGGAAATAGTACTTCTAGCCTCTGCGGGCTTCCTACTGAAATCCATATCCATATATCCCCTTGCCAATACCAATGGAATGATCAGGATTGATATTATAGGAGTACAGAGTGGAAGCAATAATCATTTGTCTCTTGTAAAGGGAGGCTGGAAAAGTTGCTAAATATTAGAATACTAGGTTTTTCAATCACTCCTCACAATAAATGGCTATTGATTTTTTTTTAAACAGATTTCCTTTCACACCTTCACCGTTGAATATCAATATATGTGGGAAATAAAAATGAAAAGCTTCATTTTAAAGGCACTTTGTTTGCACTGATAATGGGGCACCAGTTCCTTAGTTTAAGCAGGCAGAGGATGAAGGGGATGGTCTGGTGGTTCTGGCATGGAACACGGAGAGTTAGGGTCAATTCTCAGCTCTGCCACTGACTTTCTGTGTGATCATGGGCAAGTCACTTCTCTCTGTATCTCCAGTTTCCCCATAAAGCTGTTTTTTCTAACAAAGCCAGCCTGTGTCCCGGGGGGTTGTGAAGCTAAAATTCAATGATGTTTGTAGAGCACTTGGAGAGCTCTAGATGGAAAAGGCACTGTAGGCGAACAAAGTACCTTTTCCCCTCTTCCTTTTGACATGGATTTAGTAGCCAATGTCTTGCAAACCCCTAACACGAATGATTTGAAAGCTGGGATTAGTCATTTATAGCAGGTATAGTTCACTGGTTTCCTTTCCAGCTGTAGCAGCTCTTCAGAGAGCAGCAGCTAAAATCATATCAGAAGAATCATGTCCAAGGCTTCACAAAGCACATCTTGGACACAGAATCATAGAATATCAGGGTTGGAAGGGACCTCAGGAGGTCATCTAGTCCAACCCCCTGCTCAAAGCAGGACTAATCCCAAACTAAATCATCCCAGCCAGGGCTTTGTCAAGCCTGACCTTAAAAATATCTAAGGAAGGAGATTCCACCACCTCCCTAGGTAACGCATTCCAGTGTTTCACCACCCTCCGAGTGAAAAAGTTTTTCCTAATATCCAACCTAAACCTCCCCCACTGCTGACCATTACGCCTCATTCTGTCATCAGCTACCACTGAGAACAGTCTAGATCCATCCTCTTTGGAACCCCCTTTCAGGTAGTTGAAAGCAGCTATCAAATCCCCCCTCCTTCTTCTCTTCCGCAGACTAAACAATCCCAGTTCCCTCAGCCTCTCCTCATAAGTCATGTGTTCCAGTCCCCTAATCATTTTTGTTGCCCTCCGCTGGACGTTTTCCAATTTTTCTACATCCTTCTTGTAGTGTGGGGGCCAAAAGTGGACACAGTATCCAGATGAGGCCTCACCAATGTCAAATAGAGGGGAACGATCACGTCGCTCGATCTGCTGGCAATGCCCCTACGTATACATCCCAAAATGCCATTGGCCTTCTTGGCAACAAGGGCACACTGTTGACTCATATCCAGCTTCTTGTCCACTGTAACCCCTAGGTCCTTTTCTGCAGAACTGCTGCCGAGCCATTCGGTCCCTAGTCTGTAGCGGTGCATGGGGTTCTTCCGTCCTAAGTGCAGGACTCTGCACTTGTCCTTGTTGAACCTCATCAGATTTCTTTTGGCCCAATCCTCTAATTTGTCTAGGGCCCTCTGTATCCTATCCCTACCCTCCAGCGTATCTACCTCTCCTCCCAGTTTAGTGTCATCTGCAAACTTGCTGAGGGTGCAATCCACACCATCCTCCAGATCATTTATGAAGATATTGAACAAAACCGGTCCGAGGACCGACCCTTGGGGCACTCCACTTGATACCGGCTGCCAACTAGACATGGAGCCATTGATCACTACCCGTTGAGCCCGACAATCTAGCCAACTTTCTATCCACCTTATAGTCCATTCATCCAGCCCATACTTCTTTAACTTGCTGGCAAGAATACTGTGGGAGACTGTGTCAAAAGCTTTGCTTAAATCAAGGAACAACACGTCCACCGCTTTCCCCTCATCTACAGAGCCAGTTATCTCGTCATAGAAGGCAATTAGATTAGTCAGGCATGACTTGCCCTTGGTGAATCCATGCTGACTGTTCCTGATCACTTTCCTCTCCTCTAAGTGCTTCAGAATTGATTCCTTGAGGACCTGCTCCACGATTTTTCCAGGGACTGAGATGAGGCTGATTGGCCTGTAGTTCCCAGGATCCTCCTTCTTCTCTTTTTTAAAGATGGGCACTACATTAGTCTTTTTCCAGTTGTCCGGGACTTCCCCGGATCGCCATGAGTTTTCAAAGATAATGGCCAATGGCTCTGCAATCCATTAGCACTCTCGGATGCAGCGTATCCGGCCCCATGGACTTGTGCTCGTCCAGCTTTTCTAAATAGTCCCAAACCACTTCTTTCTCCATAGAGAGCTGGTCACCTCCTCCCCATGCTGCGCTGCCCAGTGCAGTAGTCTGGGAGCTGACCTTGTTCGTGAAGACAGAGGCAAAAAAAGCATTGAGTACATTGGCTTTTTCCACATCCTCTGTCACTAGGTTGCCTCCATCATTCAGTAAGGGGCCCACACTTTCCTTGACTTTCTTCTTGTTGCTAACATACTTGAAGAAACCCTTCTTGTTACTCTTAACATCTCTTGCTAGCTGCAACTTCAGGTGTGATTTGGCCTTCTTGATTTCACTCCTGCATCCCCGAGCAATATTTTTATACTTTTCCCTGGTCATTTGTCCAATCTTCCACTTCTTGTAAGCTTCTTTTTTGTGTTCAAGATCAGCAAAGATTTCACTGTTAAGCCCAAGCTGGTCGCCTGCCATATTTACTATTCTTTCTACACATCAGGATGGTTTGTCCCTGTTACCTCAATAAGGATTCTTTAAAATACAGCCAGCTCTCCTGGACTCCTTTCCCCCTCATGTTATTCTCCCAAGGGATCCTGCCCATCAGTTCCCTGAGGGAGTCAAAGTCTGCTTTTCTGAAATCCAGGGTCCATATTCTGCTGCTCTCCTTTCTTCCCTGTGTCAGGATCCTGAACTCAACCATCTCATGGTCACTGCCTCCCAGGTTCCTATGCACTTTAGCTTCCCTTACTAATTCTTCCTGGTTTGTGAGCAGCAGGTCAAGAAGAGCTCTGCCCCTAGTTGGTTCCTCCAGCACTTGCACCAGGAAATTGTCCCCTACCCTTTCCGTAAACTTCTTGGATTGTCTGTGCACCGCTGTATTGCTCTCCCAGCAGATATCAGGGTGATTGAAGTCTCCCATGAGAACCAGGGCCTTCAATCTAGTAACTTCCATGAGTTGCTGGAAGAAAGCTTCATCCGCTTCATCCCCTGGTCCGGTGGTCTATAGCAGATTACCACCACGACATCACCCTTGTTCTCACACTTCTAAACTTAATCCAGAGACACTCAGGTTTTTCTGCAGTTTCATACTTGAGCTCTGAGCAGTCATACTGCTCCCTTACATACAGTGCAACTCCCCCATCTTTTCTGCCCTGCCTGTCCTTCCTGAACAGTTTATATCCATCCATAACAGTACTCCAGTCATGTGAGTTATCCCACCAAGTCTCTGTTATTCCAATCACATCATAATTCCTTGACTGTGCCAGGACTTCCAGTTCTCCCTGCTTGTTCCCCAGGCTTCTTGCATTTGTGTATAGGCACTTGAGATAACTCGCTGATCGTCCCTCTTTCTCAGTATGAGGCAGGAGCCCTGCCCTCTTGCGCGCTCCTGCTTCCTCCCGGTATCCCACTTCCCCACTTACCTGAGGGCTTTGGTCTCCTTCCCCCGGTGAACCTAGTTTAAAGCCCTCCTCACTAGGTTAGCAAGCCTGCTTGTGAAGATGCTCTTCCCTCTCTTCATTAAGTGGAGTCTGTCTCTGCCTAGCACTCCTCCTTCTTGGAACACCATCCCATGGTTAAAGAATCCAAAGCCTCCTCTCCGACACCACCTGCGTAGCCATTCGTTGACTTCCACGATTCGACGGTCTCTACCCAGGCCTTTTCCTTCCACGGGGAGGATGGACAAGAAGACCACTTGCGCCTCAAACTCCTTTATCCTTCTTCCCAGAGCCACGTAGTCTGCAGTGATCCACTCAAGGTCGTTCTTGGCAGTATCATTGGTGCCCACGTGGAGACTATTGCATCTTTCACTCCTGGCTTATAGTTACTGAAACAGTTTGTGTTTGCATATATTGTCCCTTTAACAAAAAACAGACTTCTCATTTAATCTAACCTGACCCTCATGGGGTGTCAAATGCATTGTATGGCTGAACTGTAAATCCGCAGTGTACGGGGTTTATAAAGGAAGTTAACCAGGAATACTCACTTCAGCCACCCCTTTCATGTGTGTCTCACTTTCTCTCTGTCTCCCCAGAGATTCACTAGTAAACAGGATGTGATTCGGCATTACAACATGCACAAGAAACGTGATAACTCCCTCCAGCACGGCTTCATGCGCTTCAGCCCCTTGGATGACTGCAGTGTGTACTACCATGGCTGTCACCTGAATGGGAAAAGCACACACTACCATTGCATGCAGGTAACACAGCTGGACTGGGGAGCAGGCAGCAACGTGGCTGGGGAAAAGATGACAGGGCTGTAGGGAGAATGAAGAATCCAGAGCCAGCTGGCCTGACCTATTCCCTTTCTGTTGCAAACCTAAAGGATCCTGAAGTTCTGGTAGCCCAACACTTTCCTTTTTGGGGGGACAGGAGCCTCTCCTACAGCAAACTGTTTTATGGGAGAACTTCTAAATAGCTTAAATATAGCCTCTCGTGGTCCTTTCTGGTTCAATCACCTTTATGAAGAATCTATATCCCGTTTGCATGGACTTTCTCCTGCCAAGCACAATCCTGATCTGTAAGAAGGGCAACGCTCTAGTTTTGTGGCGGGGTTCAGGATTTCTCCTCTGTTCTGTACCTGACTTATCCACACAGATGATCCCTTTCTGTGGGACTGGTAGCGGGACAAGCGGTGAAGTCTCTCTAGAGTGCCTGTGCCCAAACAGACCATCTGACCAGCCACAGCCTCCCTTGATATAAGGCCTCTCTCGGCACAGCATCTGTCCTTTAGCACTGGATTTAGTTCCTTTGTAGCCAGCTGCTAAGACAATCAAATATTAATGGTACTCACTTTGAAGCAAACCTCAGCTCTGCCTTCCTCACCAGCATTGCTAGAGGAGAAGTTCTGAGAGATATTGGGCATTACGTTGGGAATGTGATTAAATTTCAAGAGCAAATGGTGTTTTGACCATGGTGTAACAGGAATTGGAATTACCACATAAACAAAACTTTCAGCTCTTTATCCCTTTCTAGCCCAGAGGCAGTTAGAACCCTGTTTACTTTATCCATCTCTTAGAGTGGGATCAGCTCTGAAGCAGGGTAGGAATGGGGATACACTGAATCAGCACCTAAAACATTGCTACACCAATGTGCAATGGAATTTTTAATCACACAGAAAATAATCAAACACCCTCACAAGTTTTTACTACTCTAAAATCTCAGGTCCCACTTCCTGGATTATTTTACAATCATAAAACTCCAATTCAGCAAAGCAGTTAAGCATGTGCTTAAGGCCCAGTAAAGCCAGAGAGTCTTCAATGCATGCCCAAATGCTTTATTGAATAGGGATGGACATATTTAAGTCAAGTCAGCTTTTGAAGTCAATGGGACTTAAGCACAAGCTTAATGTTAGGCAGGCACTTAAGTGCTGTCCTGAATAGGGTAGGACTTAAGCATGTGCTTAGTGTTTTGCTGAAATTGGGGTTCCATTTGGGTCTCTGCTGTGGGCATTTTAATGCTATTTCTCCTGTATTTTCCTTGCTCAGTTTCCTGCTGAATTGACTAAGATGGAAATTATTTAATTTTTAAAGGGCAATCAAGATTTCTCAGTCTGCAGCCACTCCGAGGTTCAATAAAGACCCCTATCTAGGCCTCTATATAAGGGTAATTTAGCCCTGTGACCACTCCCTTCCAGAAAGTCAATGACCATGTAAGCAGTGTCTTACAGGAAAGGTGTCAGAACATAAACTTGCAATTAAAATGAATATTGTTTAAATGGCAGGATTTGTGCCATCCGCCTCATGGTTTTTTTTTCTTTATGTCCATAATTGGTGTGGATAAAATTCAGTTAGTTGTTTATATAAACTGACATTTTTTAGGCTTTAACACCAAGAGCCGCATTGCAAATTATTCCTAAGGAGGTTTTTGTTTAATTCTTTTTTTTAATGCTGCACAGGGTCTGTTTTTTTTCAAGGTGTCAGCGTGGAGAGAGAGAGGCTCTTTTATATTGGAAATAGCTGGAGATCCTTTTTTTTTTTTCCCCCCTGGGTATTTGTTATTGCCTGTTTGAATCAACCTGGGCTGAACCGAGAGGTGGTGTTTTCGTTCTCTTCACTTCTGAGATGGTGCAGGCGTTGGCACACACTGTGCAAAAGAAGAAAGGGAAAAAATAAAACCCGCTGTCAGCAGCTCAGCAGGGGTGATGGCGTTTTCAGATTCCACTGGTTTTTTACTCAATATGGCAAAGTTGCCCGCTTTGCCTGGGGGCAGGCAGGTTTTCAGCATTCCGTTCTCATCACACCATTCCCACTCGCTGCACAAAGTTAAAATCATTGAGCAAACGATGTTGGGGGGTGATGGGGAAAAGCCACCGGTTCCTGGTGACCAGCTGACTCAGATTTCCACTCTGGTCTGTGACTAGCTAGAGTAGAACAGGCCCTAGAGTTGTGTTCAGCTTGCTCTACACCACCCCATCTCCTGGAGAGAGAAAATGAACAGATGAGTAACCACCAGTCTCTCCAGTGCTCCACTAGTAGGTGAAGGGCTAGAGTAGAAGCCCTAAGTCTCTCCAAATCTTCCCAAGATGACAAAGGGTCATGACAGTATTTGTCAGTCTGTCCAGCGCTTTTGAGGAACAGGACCCTCCCTGCTCTGTCCCTGAGCAGTAGCCTTAATCTCTCCACATCTCCCCCAATTCTCTGCCTCCTTCTCCTGTTCTAATTTTTTCATCCCCATAGACTCGGGCTTTTCTTAGACTCTTTGCAGCATCAGTCCTTAGGTTGGCAACCAAAGCGATGACTCAATACTGAGGGGAAATGCACAAATACAATTAAAATGTCTCTGTGTTGCTTGTGTGTTTATTACTGCTGGTATTAATAATAAATCAGTAAGCTGCTGCTGGGATGGTCTGATGTCTCTTTCCCTTGGTCCTGGGCAGGTGGGCTGTAACAAGGTCTATACCAGCACCTCTGATGTGATGACCCACGAAAACTTCCACAAGAAGAACACACAGCTGATCAACGATGGGTTCCAGCGGTTCCGAGCCACAGAAGACTGTGGCACCGTGGACTGCCAGTTCTATGGGCAGAAAACCACTCACTTCCACTGCAGGTGAGATGGTGGGGGAGGGCAAAAATCCTACGTTATTGATGCACATCTGCTGGCCTCTTTCTGAAAAGTCATAAAGCTCAGGATTATACACAGTGGGGCAACCTACCAGGAAGGCCTTTCTGGATATGAACCTCCCAGGCATCTTCCTGAAAGGACATAAACTCCAGAGTGGGTATAATCTGGAGAGAGCTCTCGTGGTAGGAGACACACTGATCTCTCCCTGATGAATCAAGGCAAGTATGCCCATTGGGAAATCTATGATAGAAATCTCTCAAGAAAGAGACCACACTAGCTTTGCTTGAAAGGTCATCATTGAGGGGTACTGTTATAGTATTAATGGCACTTGCACTTCAGAGTTCTCTCTAGAGACCAGCCATCCAGCTCTCCTAGCTTAAGGTCAAACTCTGCTTTCAGTTACGTGAGTGCCCTTCCAATGACTCCATTGGACACTCAAATCATTTGGGAGAAAATCAAGGCACAGCTAGGGCCTATGTTTATGTCTAGGAATGACCCTCAGTCTGCCTTGGGCTCGTGTTCTGTTTGGGATGGCTGGTGGGTGAGGCTGGATCCCTGCCTCTGTTTTGTTGGCTAGTCTTCAGAGTGGGGGCATTATCCCAGCTCTCGTACTTGGTTGCAGCGTTGCTTCCCTTGGCTGGAAAGACCCTTCTTGGCATCCCAAGCCAAGTCTAAGAGGGGCCAAGAGGCCTCTTGCTACCAGGGCTCAGTACTTTATACTGATTCCAAACCTCATCCCAGCGAGGAAGCAAGTGATGTGGCAGCCCCTTGGTGCTCCCAACTCATACAGCCTTCCACCCTCTTCTGTGCCCTTGTAGGCGACCCGGGTGTACGTTCACTTTCAAGAACAAGTGCGACATCGAGAAGCACAAGAGCTACCACATCAAGGACGACGCCTATGCCAAGGATGGCTTCAAGAAGTTCTACAAGTATGAGGAGTGCAAGTACGAGGGCTGCGTCTACAGCAAGGCCACTAACCACTTCCACTGTATTCGGGCGGGCTGTGGCTTCACCTTTACCTCTACCAGCCAGATGACCTCCCACAAGCGCAAGCATGAGCGCCGGCACATCCGCAGCTCGGGGGTGTTGGGCCTCCCCACCTCTCTCCTGGGAGCCAAGGATAATGAGCAGGAGGAGTCCAGCAACGATGACCTCATTGACTTCTCCGCCATGAGCTCTAAGAACTCCAGCCTGAGTGCCTCCCCTACCAGTCAGCAGTCTTCCGTCTCCCTGATCATCCCGGCTGCGCCTTCTTCCGCTGCTGAGCTCGCCTCCTCTCAGGCCTGTAAGCCCACCAACAACATGCCACCGGCCACCAAGATCTCCGGCCTGCTCTCCCAGGCCCTCCCCAGCAATATACCTTTGGCCCTGGCGCTCGCCAACTCAGCACTTCCTGGAACGGCCAGCTCCTACTTCCCCATCATCCCCAGCCGGGTCTCCACACCACATCCCGCCAGCTCAGCCAATCTAATGACTGCTGGTTCCTCCAGCACAAATCCAGCATCCTCTACTGCTGCCAATTCCCCCTTGCAAGCTGTCTCAGGGTCCAGTGAGCGAACAGCCACCTCTTCTCCAGGTCCAGCAGCATCCATTATGGAGAGGATCTCTGCCAGCAAAGGATTGATCTCACCTATGATGGCCAGGCTGGCAGCGGCAGCCCTCAAGCCATCCATGGCACTCGAAGCAGGTGAGTCCCCCAGCCTCCCTCCATTACACTGGAGCTAGGTAAAAGGTAGGAGAGTTGGAGATATCTGATTTGGAGATACTAGGTCTATTCAATGGGCCACCCGCTGGCAATAGGCAGGCTGTACAGGAGCATTGCTGGGAGAAGCAATTCGCCATGTCCAGTTAAAGCATCGGTGCCAACGCACAGTGTTGGCTTGGGGGGTTTCTGTGGAACCTGGATGTCTTCACGTAGCTGAGAGAGCGGAAACTGCTGCCCACACAGAGCCCTGGAGGAGGAGTGTTCTCCTGTGTGGTGCCTCCCTCCCCATCTAACTGTAGGCTGGAAAGTAAGGGGCATTTTATTCAAAATGGAAATGGATAGAGAAATCACCGGAGTCCCAGGGTTACAGAGCATCCCCGGGTCATGCTTCCCATGGTCCATCTTGAGGAGCCAAGCATTGGGTCCTGACGGCAGCCTTGTCCTCCCCTCCTTCCCACAGGAGAGCGGGGTGAGTCAGACCCAGCCGATTCTCGCAGCCCAACATGGAGCTCCCTCCCTACCCCCCTTTGTTTCTTGTACATTGGGTGGACTCATCGGTGCAGTTTCTACCGCTTATTGCCCTCTTGCCCCTCAGACTCACTCCCCTCTCTTCCCCTGCCCCCAGCTGCTGGTGCTGGATCTCTGAGGTGGGTGGACATCGAGCCCTGTCTCTGCCATTTGATTGGTGTCCCGAGTACCAGCCATGTCCCCAGAGACCTTGCTGACATGCACCCGATCAGAATCTTTTTCAGTTAATCAGGAGCATCTGGTGAGGTTGAACTTCTGCTCCTCAGGAAAACAGGGCAGGGATGAGGAGTATTAGGAGAGAAACTGGACCTGGCCTGGGGAAAAGGACAGCAGCAAGGACCTTTCATTGCTTCGTCTGTTGCTGTAGCAGGAGTAGTCAGTTATTTTTTGGCAAGGTCCAAATTTCTTGGTCAAGGTACAGTCAAGGTCCAAACGTCAGAGACAATAATAAAAAATAATGATAGTAAGTACATAACAAGATTTCGGGGTCCATTCAAAAGTGCCTGGAGGTCCAGATTTGGCTCGTGGTCTGGCTATTGACTACCCCTGCTGTACATGATTCATTAAGCATCAAGGGGGCTGTGACTGGGGGCGTTCTGCATAAGAAAGAAGGCTGCACTCCAGGGAAGGCAGGGATGGCCTGGAAAGGGGGGAAGGACTGTGAAGCCAGTGAAAGGCAGAGGGGAAATGGAGTCAGAGAGGGTTCTGTATCTTGCAGCTTTTCAGGCAAGCATGAGAGCTGCAGGTTTTCACTGATAAGCTGAGCTGCACCGAATGACTCTCTCCCCCTCACCTTGCACCTCTACTGCAGTAATTACAGGACAAACAACAGTGATAGCACTGGATCTGTGCCAGGAGGTGTGCTCCGATGAGCTGTCCAGCCCACCCAGTGCTCTCTTCTCACTGTGGCTCGTTCTAACTCCCTCATCTCCCTTTTTCTTTTTCTCTCCTTGGCTTGGGGGAGGGGATGAGCTTCTCCCATTGAAGCATCTGGTTGATCCTCTTAGGAACCACTGTGTTGGTTCTCAGATGCGACATTTTACCTTCCTGGGTCTGACAGGCAGGTTGCTTTCCTTTCCTCCCATCCTACCCACACATAGCCCCTTGACAGTCTGCAAGGAGCAGCCTGAATCCACGGCAGAATGGATCACCCCACTGGGACTAATGAAACCTTTCTTTGCTGCCCTCTAGAACCTAAGTAGACAGTTAATTTGTAGCCATCCCTTTCAGCCAGAATATCTCAGGCCCCTTCCGATGAACAGGGACGGACTGCTCTTGGTGACACCGCTGTAAATCCAGAGTAACCCAACTGAAAACAATCAAGTGCCTTTGGATTTACACTGATGTGATCAAGAGTAGGAGCTGGCCTGCAGGCCCCAGCAACATCAGACTCTGCCCCCACAATTCCTCTCTCCCCGCAGGGCATTGAAAACCTTTCCATTGTCTGGTGCCTGAGGCAAGCTGGTTGGGTCTGGGTGTGTCACCTCTGCCTCCTCCCCCACTTCTCAAACAAGAGTCCTCTCTGAATGAAGAAGAGATGAGAGTGACATGATCTGGTTAAAAGGAGGGAAAAACTTTGAAATATTTTTCCCCTTATTATTAAAATAATTCTTTCCTAAAACACAGAAAGGTCATTGAGAGAACTATTTTCCTTTATTTTTTAATAAAATGCCACTTGCTGTCTGTGAAACAGCTCACCATCAGCTGTAGTGCCTGAGGGTAAATTAATATTTTAGTCACTTGGGGATTGTGGAAAAAAGCTCAGCGGCCATGTTCCTGTCAGCAACTTTTCCCCCCGTTTCTTTAGCCTCCTCTTCATTTTTTTCTTTCTTACTTCTTTCCCACCATTTTTTTCTTTTTTCCATCCTCCTTTTTTTTCATTCCCTTCATCTAAAAATTATATATTTTGTATTTTTCTCATTTAAAATATATATATATTTCCCCTTCTCGTCTGGACAACTTGATGGGAGAGAGGTCACGCAGTTTGAACCAATCTGATTGGCTGTCAGCTTCAATAGACCTGACACAGCAGATGTTCCTTCTGGGCATGCTCAGTGGAGGGCCGGAGCGGTCGCTAAGGCAACGGCGAGATTGGGGAATGGAAAGGGGGCTTGACTAGCAGTCGAAAGCTGCCACATTGCCTCAGCATTAACAGAGTCTTTAATAAACGCTTAAGAGGCAGCACCGCAAATTAGTTATGACAGTTTGTGCAGAGAATCAGGTCTCCCCCACGCTCCTTCCACTCTTCTCCTTTAAAGGGCCCGTAGCCTGGACAACTTTGACATAATTTTGCAATAATTATCACTTGAAGAATTTCCATGCTGGGGTGGACGTCAGAACCCATCAAGTCAGCCCAGCGATAAACGCTGACCAGCAACCCGCGTGCTTCCCTTCCCCCCACTTGGTTTTTTTCTTCTCTCCCATTATTTGGTGGTGGTGGTTTAATTCATTTATTTGCCTCCATCGCCTCTTTCTGACACTAATTTGTGTATTTTTCATGTTTCTCTTTGGTCTCTGTCTCCTATAGGGAATGGGCAACTAATGACTCCCGGACGGTTCAATCCAGTTCCAGTGAAGCAGGAGCCCGTGGAGAGTGTGGTGTCCTCATCCCCGGCGACCCAGGATTCCTTGCAGGAGCACAGCCTGGACCTGAGCGTGAAAGATCATGGGTGAGAAGGAGAGGCTGGGAGACTTGGCTCCATCCATTGAGGCACTCAAAGGCTATTCTCACATCCAGTAACACAAGGGAGAACGGTTTGATTTAACTTGTTTTACCTATGGCTGCTAACTTGTGCTGAGTAAGAAAAATCTGTAAATTGCAAAGTGAAGAGCTTTAGTGTGCCCTAGATGGCTCGTTCAGCCTCCCATGGCATTATAAGGTGTCTGTCCTCGAAGGCATTTTTTTCTCTCATAAACTCCCATTGACTTCACTGGGTCCTGTTTATGGATTGAGAGCCCCTATAACTTGGAACACACTCTCCTCTAAGTTAGAACACCAACAGGCCTCTGGCCAACCTTCTTCCCCCAGCAACCACCATTAACATCATATATTTGATTGAAGACTAATGATGGGTCTCCATTAAGGGCCTGATCCAATGCCAGCTGACACCCATGAGAGTATTTCAATTCACTTCAGTGGGCATTGGATCATGGCCGAAGCAAGGAAACTGTTGGAGAAATGTCAGCTGCATGAAACAGCTGCTTGTCTTGCTCATCCTTGCAGATGTTTAGCACATCCGTACAGCCCTGCAGTTTTTGATAGCCATGTTGGTGCATTCTGGGACTCAAGAAGCACCTATCCAACAGTGCCTAGTACTGTTGCTGAGAGCAAGAGCTTTTGGATCATTTTCCAAGAAGGACTGCATTGTCGAATGAATGATCTTTGGGGGACTGGCTGAACCAGGGCAGCCTGAGACACCTGTGGTTTCCTCTCCATACTGAGGTTCATCCAGGCCTGAGCTAAAGACTTTGTCCCAGTTGTTGTAATCAGCAAAGTCCTGCTAATGCTTGTAAAATACCTGGGTTGCCCTTGTGTGTCGGTCTCAGACATTGCACCCTAGTATCCTACTTTTTTTGCAATGCCTCTTCATTTACTATAGAGAGGGCCTTTCTCAACTCATAACTGTCACCCTGTGGTTTTGTTATAGGAGCCCTGAGTGTTCTATGGCATGTGTGTTTTAACAGTCCTGCCTGGCCTGGGGCAGGACAAAGAGTAAAGCAGGGTGAGTGAGAAATGAGCTAGGTGGCAGGTGATGAGGAGGCAACTGGGCTGGACACTTGAGATGTGAACTGGAATACTGAATGGCCAAGAGATCCATCTTAGCTCTGGAAGCTTGAGACCTTCTTCCCCTGTATCCTAGCTACCACATAGAGCTTGACCTGCCCGAGGGAGAATGGGCATCATCTCTTCCTCCAGATGCAGCAGGTGGGAAGTAGGGGAGGAGGGGGGGAAGAGGACACAATTTGAAGGGAATTAATCTCAGGGCTCACGGTCCCTGTGCACGTCTTAACTAAACCCTATTGGTTTGTGTGTTCCAGTAATGAATCAAATGGCCACACAGTCTCAGCAAATTCATCTCTTTTATCCTCGCTTATGAATAAGGTAAGAGCCATCCATCAAACGCCTTTCATTCCCCCCACCAAGAGAAATTAAAGCCGTGATGGCGAGGGGGGGGGGGAGATGCGTTTGTTTTTTAATGTTTTGCCTCTAATAAGATGAGTTTGTACCATTTAAATTTTGAGACCATTTGTCATTGGGTGTAATTTCAGAGCCCCTGCTTATGAATTAATTTAATGAACTGGCTGAAGAAATATATCGCAGCCCTGACACCCTTTTTTTTTTTTTATCCCTTCTAGACAGAGGAGGGCTCGAAAGAATTTTTTAAAAATTTGATTTCCAGAACCTGGCAACTTCTCTCTCTCTCTCTCTTTTTACAGTTATCTATTTTATTTACTGTAAAACATTTGTTTCATGGTCGGCGAGTTTGTTTTTGTAAAAGAGAGCAGAAGAAAAAGACAAAATTACAAGTTTTGAGTAAAAATCATCCATTTCCGCCTTTCTGGCATGAGTAATAGTGTCCAACTGAGCCCGTTCTACCACACTCTGGAATATTTACTTTAAATAATGCACAGTTTCTTTTTCTTTCTTCCTTAAATTATACATCATCTCAAATATATTTTTCCCTTCCACATGATAAATTTTACTATAGCGAGATTAATTTTGCTTCTGTATACAACTGCGTTAGTGATCAGGGCAGCCTCTGAGCCACACTTTAATATCCTACTGTGTGATAGGCTTTAGAGGCATAACTACTGCCATCCCCTTGGCTCTGGGCATTATATCCAGCAAGGCTATATAACCCTCAAGAAAGGGCAAAGTGACTTTGTCTAGTGCTCTCCCTCCTCCTCCCTGTTTTCTTCCATTGGCCTTTTACTCTCCATTTTTTCGTTTTCACTGTATGTTGCTTTTCTCCTCCATTTGGTTTTCAGTGGTTCCTTTGTCACTTAGTTACACATGCACGCACACACACATGCACTCTCTTTCTCTCTTTTTATACCTTCCTCCCCATAGTCTGTGGTCCTGGATCTGCAGCTCTTACTTCTGAGAGTAGTCCCATTGCCTGGCATCTTGAGTCATCCTTAAGGCCCCAGCTGAGGAAAGCTTAACTTTAAGTCCTATGGAAGACAATGGGATTTAAGCACATGTTTAAAGTTAAGCACTTGCTTACATGCTTTCCCAAATCAGGCATCTTACTCCTGTGCAAAATAAGTGCAGCGTGGGCGTAAAACACTAGTGAATCAGATCGGTATCATTTAACGTATACACAGGGTTAAATGGGGTCATAAAGTTCAAGGCAAAGGAGAATCTGACCTATTGACTTCAGTGGGACTACTCACAAGAGTAAGGGTTACAGCACTGTGTCTGTCTCTCTCTCCCCCTCTTTGTCTGCTCTATAATGTCTCTCTCCTTATTGAGGAATTCTTTCTTTCTTTGTGTGAATTTCTCTTTTAAAAATGCCCTTCCAGGAAATTGAACTGAGAGCTCCAAAGTTTCCAAAGAAATAAGACAAACTGAATTTCCGACTCCCAGCCTCTAAGGATATGTCTACACTGCAACCGGGAGTGAGACTCATGCTAGTGGGGCTTGAGCTAGTGTGCTAAAAATAGCAGTGTGGCCCGTTGTGGCTCCAGTGCAGACTCAGGCTGGCCACCTGGGCTCAGACCCAGTTGCAGCTTGAAATCCTGAGCCACTGCCAAAGCTGCCACATCCACAGTCGTGCAAGTCTGTCTACCTAGGTTGGGATGCTCACTCTCAGCAGCAGTGTAGACATAGGGTGAGAGTTGTAGTCTCCAATTAAGAGATGTATTGTAGCGGCAGTAGCTTCAGAATAGCCAGGGGTCTCATAATGTATGGCAGTTGTTATACAGTTTATTCAGGGTGGCTGTCAGGGTGGCTGTTAGTTAATTAATGTTTATAAAGGGTTTTGAGATCTGCAGATGGGGGAAGTGATTTCTAAATGCAAAGCTTGGGCCTGATACTGCACTTTATTTGTGCCTGGAGTTCCACTGACTTTACTGGAGCTATTCATATGAGTAGGTGAGCAGGACTGAATTGTGGTATTATATTATACATTATTAGGAGACAAAGTTTGTTGGCTAAGCATTATTAAGTAACTTCATTTTTTCAGCTTATATGTCTTCTATTGTACAGTCTATGCCTAATCTCACCAGCACTCTGTACTGGAATCAGTGAGAGTCTCTCTCGCTCTCAATACACACTCATACATCCCTGTCTGTACATAAAACACAGAGGCTGAAATCATGACTCCACTGAGGTCATTAGGAATTTTCCCCTAGATTTCAATGGAACTGGGATTTTATATATCCTTTAAATAAATATATCTTACAATCATTTTATAGGACAGAGTGCCGTCCTGTGGTTAGAGCAGGATGGTTGCGAACCAGAATTTGTGTTTCTGTTACTGACTCTGCCACTATGGGAATCAAGTCACTGAGGCTCCAATCCTGTACTGGAAACATGGAGTCAAGAGTTTTCCTTTAGGCACAGGGGTCCATCCACCTGGTTTTCAGTGTAGGGCCCATTTCTGCCTCTATTTTCCCATCTGTAAAATGGGGATAACGCTTCCACACCTGATGTAGGGGCTGAGAGGATTTGATTAATGGTATGTACTTTGAGAGCCTCAAACAGAGGGTGCTGGAGAAGGGCGATGATGAGTTATTGATTTATCCTGGAGCAATGTGCAGCCTGTGCAAACCTCTTGCCTGATCTTTCCTTCTAATCCTGAAAATGTGGCTTTTCATGGTGTGCTTTTGAGCGGAGCCAGATTGGCCAGTGACCCGTGTCTGATGCTGTGTCTGTGTTCTTGCCACAGATGAACCAGTCCAATGCCAGCCTTGGCAGCCTGCCAAGCTTGAAGACAGAAGGAGATGGCAACCAGGCAGGGGCTGGTGAGCCAATGAAATACCTGGGCAAAGCAGTGAAGGCGCTTGTTCAGGAGAAAATCTCTGAGCCCTGGAAGATGTACTTGCGCAGGTAAGGGAAACATGGAACTGTGCAGAGGGGAGAGGGAAATTATTTCCTGCTCAAAGAGGCCAACTCCTATAGCAAGTTTTAAGACCACTTACAGTCCCACCTGGATTCAATGCAGTTAATGATATTTGAATTTGAGGTCCTGATCCAAGGAGATGCTGAGTACCCCCTGCAATGCACTGAGCCCTCTCAATTCCCTTTGACTGCAGTGGGGAGAATTAGGTACTTAATATCTTGCAGGAGGTGCTCAGCACCTTGTAGGATTGGGCCACAAGTGGCCCTTGGGTGGTATCTAACAGCACAGGCTCTCATGTGGCTTGAATGCTATGGCATGCACATTCATTCTGAAACCCTCCTCCATATACTAGGCAGTAAATCCAAAGGATATCCTGTAGCTGTGCGCTTCAGCAGTGAACCAGTGTTAGACCATGCACAGTTAATACATGAAGATCACAGTAGCCTTGAGAGTTCTTGCTGTGGAATTAGCGCCTCTTGTCTGATTCTGTGAGTGGACTAGTGATACAAAGCAGGGAGTCCAGGGGGCACTGTGCAGACAATTGGTTCTTGCTCTGAGGGACTGTTTTTCTTGTAGACAAGGAGGCTTTCAGGGAAAATGGAACAGGCATAGAACTCATCCACACAGACACACATGCACATATGTACCCAGAATGACACATGATTTGAGCACACATGAATATGCCCAAACAGACATGTATGGGTTTGTGCTCTGATAAAAACACACTTGACTACAAGTGCCTGTGAACATATTATAAAATTGCAAACACTGAAGATGGGAAAGATCTCTGAAGTCCAGCTGCTTCTACCAGTGCAAGATCAATCCCTGTTTGCTAGTGTTTTATCCTGTCTAGTTTTAACTATGCCAAGCAATGTAGTTGCCTCCACGCCTCTTAGAGGATTATTTTACTACCTAATACATTTCACTGTCAGGATATATTTTTCTCTTGATATGCTGCCTGAATTTTTCCTTTCTTTATTTTGTTGCAGTTCTCCTAATTATACCCCTTGAACCACAATAGTTAATTCCTCTTCTTGCCTGGAATTTACCCCCTTCAAATACTCACAGACTAGTCACATATCATCATTTATCCAAGCTATAGTGATTTAGTTATTTGAATCTCACTTTGTAAATCAGTCCCTCCAGGCCCCTGCTCATTTCTTTTGTTTGGTGCGGTTTGGTGGGAGGTTTTTTCCTTCTCGCTGAACTCTCAGTTGTCCAGAAATGGATCCCCTACTCCAGTGCCATGACACCACAGTGACTGTATGCAGCCTAAAACTGCACTGCCTTTTTTGTATGTCACATTGCACACTTGTATCACATTTACTGTGTCCACTGTTTCTCTGGGTCTCTTATTGCAACACTGCCTTCCAGGTTCCTCTCCTATTGAATACCCCCCCCCATATGTATTAGCTGCATTTTTCCAAATATGAATCTCTATTTGTGATATTTTCCCCCTAGTCTCTATAGGCCCCTTTGTATTATTTCTCTTCCCTTACACTGGTGCTTCCAGCTCCTCCATTTAGTATCATCTGTGAATTTGTTAATGTACTGTTTACTCCTTCTCCTAGATTACTAATGAAGATGTTAAATAAAATCAGACCTAACTCGACTCATAACCTTGCAGCATTCATGAGATACCTCCTCCCAGCTCAATACATTGCCGTTTGTCATTACCCTTTGTTTATGGTCCTTCAGCCAGTTTTCAGTCCATGTGGCATTATTCACATCCAAGCCAATTTGAATTAATTTTAAGCATATGTGAGACTTTGTATCAAAATGCTTTACTAAAGTCCAAATATATTGCAGCCCTTCATCCACTAATTGTATAATTCTATCAAAAAAAGCAATTAAATTTGTTTGGCAAGATTTATTCTTTGTAATCCCCATGCTGTTTATTGCTCATGGTTCCTTTATCCTCTAGATGTTTAATGATTTTCTTCCCTCTCTTAATATTTGTTTCATGACTTTACTGGGAAGAGACATTAAGACCAGAGGTACGATAATTGCCAGGATCACTCTTGTTTTTTCCTTAAAGAATATGTACCATATTTATTTTTGCCAGTCTTCTGGCACCTCCCCAGTTCTCTATGACTTAAAAATCAGTAGTCCAGTAAGTTTGAAAGTTAATTCCCAGCATGCTCTCAGATGAGAATCATCCAGACTGGCTGATTTGTGCATATTTACATTTTCTAAGCATTCCCGTATCTGCTTTTCTGTAAGATCTTCATTTCATCCTGTCTGCTTTGTCTTTATTTTTCATGTTAGAGGAAGATTTTAAAAGGCGGTTGAGTAGCTCATCCATTTTTGAGACATTACCCACCATCCTCATTTTTTAATGGCCTTATTTTCTCCCTAAGTATGGTACCTCTTCTCCCTGATAAAATAACCCCTTTAGTTTACATTAACTTGTGCTGTTATTGCTCCTCTTATCAGGGCCTCTCTCTCTCTTATCTTCTCCCTGCAAGCTTTAAGTGACCCCATGTATTGTGGATCGCCTGCCACTTTCCTTTCCCAGTACAAGCTTTCTTTTGTTTCTTTTAACCTCAGATATTTAAGGTCCCACCTGGGACCACACAGGCTGCTGCTTATTTTGCATTCCTGCTCTTCAGAAGAACTGTAGTCTGTCACACCTTAATTATGCAGATTCCCCAGTCCTTCCACACCCAGGGAGGTTTAAATACTTCCTGCTGTTGCACCTTACTCACTGGGTTTTTTAAGTCCCTGGAATTTTGGAATTTGCTTTCTTGAAATCTCATAACCTTATGCTGCCATTCCTCACTATGGTGAATCCAAGCAGCTCATAGTCACTGGTACTGGGCTGCCCTATTGTTCTTGCCTTCTTGATTAGTTCCACCCTGGTGGCAAGAGGCAGTTCCTGCATGGCTTCTCTGCTGGTTGGAGCCTCCCACTTTCTGCATCAGAAAGTTGTTTCTTCCTCGAGTGATTGCTCATGTCCGTTCAACTTAGGTGTGTGCTCGCCACATGCACCGGTGCCGGAAGTTTTTCCTTCAGCAGTATCCATAGGGAACTGACTCTGGTGCCCCCTGAAGTGGCACGCGTATGCCACAGCATATAGGGCACCACTGGCCCCTTCAACCCTCAGTTCCTTCTTGCCGCCAGTGATGCTGCATGGGACTGGTGCTGCTTCAGCTAGAGCTGTTGCTTTTCGTTCGTTCGAACTCATTTGCCTTGCAGATATTACTGTATATAGTTTCCCACTAGTTTACTTCAACCTATTTGTTAAGTTAGAGACTTAGTAGGTCCCTAAAGGGACTTCGCCTCGGGATGGGGTATGCCTCAGTCCCTGCGATTGCTGTAAAAGACCCATGCCCATTAGCGAGCCACATAATAGTTGTTTACAGTGCTTGGGTGAAAGTCACATTAGTGATATGTGCAAAATCTGCAAGTCCTTCAAGCACAGGACGAAGAAAGATTGTGACATTCATTTGAAGGCGCTCCTGATGGAGTCTGCGCACCAAGGTCACGGTGCTCTGGCATCGAGGTAAGGGCAGTGCCCCGCTGGTACAGTATTTGAGCCGGCACCAGTCCCCTTCCGTGGCTTCAGCCAAGAAGCCCAGGAAGATGGGACGAGGAAGGTCTCCAGCTTCCCGCAAGGGAAAGGACAAGTCTGGGGTGGACCAAGGCCCTGTCTCGGGCGCCTCCTCACCCCCTTCAGGATCACAGAATCATAGAATATCAGGGTTGGAAGGGACCTCGGGAGGTTATCTAGTCTAACCCCCTGCTCAAAGGTCGAGCGGTGTAGCCTAGCCGACTCCCCGCCAGCTACCCCGGATAGCAGCGGAGGTCTTCATCAGCTCCGGGTGCCGTCCATACCAGAGGCCCTCCAAGCGGCGCAAGGCATTATGTTCCTTCCAGTGCCACCCACTCTGGCCCCTGCAGGGTCCCAGTCCCAGGGTAAACCCACGTTGGGACCACCACAGTCTCCACCTTTCCGGCAGCGCTCCCCGTCATGGGGCATGTCCCGCCAACAGTCACCCTCTCACAGCCGACATGGTTCTGACTGCGATAGGCAGAAGCTTCATAGCCCTATCCGGTCTCCGGACCTAGGACAAGGGCAGAGAGGCTTAAGGCACAGCTTGCCAATGACCAGGTGCAGATCTCTAGAGGCATGCGCCCCCCAGCAGGAGTTTCGGAGCCGGTGCCCAGAATCTCCATGGCACCAGTAGTGCTCCAGGGACAGGTTGAGGGACCGACGGTACTGTTCTCTGGACCATCGCCAATCCCCCAGGGTGGCATCACTGCATGATGCCAAGCCTGCTCTAGTTCCCGATCCCACTCCACATCCCGGTACCACTCGTTAAGCGTGAATCATAGATCGCCAGCCTGGGGCCATCACGGATCTGCTGACCGCCACTGGTCGCTGAGGCCCCAATCCAGATGCTCCTCGAGGTCAGCCAGATCCAACTCCAGGAGGGGCGACCAGTACCAATCAGCCCTGTCTTGATCACAAGGGAGTGACCACTCAGGCTCTAGCTCAGGTTCCCTAGCGGCGGGACAGGCTCCAGCACCTACAGTGCAGACTACATTGGCAGCACTGCAGCTGGGCCCATGGCCTCAGACTCGTCCAGGGACCACCTGGAGAAGGTCGTCACCATCCCCGCAATGGAACTTACATCGCTGAAATGGTGGACTAACCCCGGGAAAGTCCTGGAAGGAGTTCCCTTCATGAGCACTCCTTATTTAGTCAAGTTGGTTTTGGACGCCTCAAACCTCGGCTAGGGGTGCACCTCGGCATCCTCCAGACCCAAGGTATGTGGTCCCCAGAGGAGTCGACGCTGCACATAAAAGTCAGAGAGCTCAGGGGGGTGCACAGAGCATGCGTGGTGTTCCTACCTCACCTGCTGGGCAGACTGGTCAGAGTCCTCATAGACAACACAGCCTCAATGTTCTACGTTAACAAGCAAGGTGGAGCGCGATCCTCGGCCCTTTGCCAAGAGGCACTACGTCTCTGGGACTTCTGCATTGACCACGGAATCCATCTAGAAACGAGTCACCTTCTGGGTGCCAGGAACACTCTAGCAGATCACCTAAGCAGGGACTTCTCCTCTCCCCACAAGTAGGTGCTTCACCCAGAGGTAGCCGGCATGATCTTCCAGAGGTGGGGAAGTCCCCAAGTGGATTTGTTCTCCACCAGGCAGAACAGGATGTGCCACAGGTTTTGCTCCAGACAGGGTCTGGGCAAGGGCTCCCTCTCTGACACTTCCACCTGCCATGGGCAGGAAGCCCGATGTACTAGTTCCCTCCAATTCCGCTCATCAGGAAGGTCCTAGCGAAAATCAAGAGGGACAAGGCGCAGGTTATTATGATCACCCCGGCATAGCCTCGCCAGCACTGGTTTGGGACGCTATCAAGCTTGTCAATGATCCCTCCCTGACCCCTGCTGAACCGACCAGACCTGCTGTCACAGGATCACAGCTGACTCTTGCACCCCAACCTCGCATCCCTCCACTTCACGGCGTGGATGTTGCATGGCTGAACCCGGATGAACGGGCCTGTTTGGACGGGGTCCAGAAGGTCCTCCTTGAGAGTAGAAAGCCCTCAACTAGGCAGACCTACCTGGCAAAGTGAACGACTTTCTCCCGTTAGGCATTCTTCAGTGCAGTCCATCTTGGACTACCTGCTTCATTTAAAGAACCAGGGCCTGGCGCACTCCTCTATCCAGGTGCACCTGGCGGCCATTTCGGCCTTTCATCCACCAATCCAGGGGCAGACTGTGTTCTCCCATGACATGATGGTAATGTTCCTTCGAGGCCTCAAGAGGCTCTTCCCTCAAGTCCGGTCCCCGGTCCCTCAGTGAGATCTCAGCTTGGTTCTGTCCAGGCTTATGGGTCCGCCCTTTGAGCCTCTGGCCTCATGCTCTCTATCTCTCCTATCATGGAAGGTAGCTTTCCTCATGGCAGTGACGTCAGTGAGGTGAGTCTCCAAGCTGCGAGCCCTGACCTCAGAACCACCATACACGGTCTTCAGTAAGGACAAGGTCCAGCTCCGGCCCCACCTGGCCTTTCTTCCCAAGGTGGTGTCCACTTTTCACATGAGCCAGGACATCTTTCTTCCGATCTTCTGCCCTAAGCCCCATGAGACCAGTGAAGAGAGTCACCTTCACACTTTGGACATAAGAAGGGCTCTGGCTTTCTACCTAGATAGGACAAAACCCTTCCGTAAGTCGACTCAGTTTTTCGTCTCTACAGCTGAAAGGATGAAGGGCCTCCCAGTGTCCATGCAAAGGATTTCTAACTGGATCACCTCTTGCATTAGGACCTGCTACAAGTTAGCGGGAGTCCCTCCACCGCCAATCATCAGAGCCCACTCGACTCAGCGGCCTTCCTGGCACATGTTCCGATCCAGGACATCTGTAAAGCTGCAATGTGGTCCTCGGTGCACATGTTCATGGCCCACTATGCTATCACACAACAGGCCAAGGACGATGCTGGGTTCAGCTGAGCTGTGTTGCAATCTACATGTTTGTGAATTCCTTACCTGCCTCCAGGGGTACTGCTGGGAGTCACCTAAGTTGAACGGACATGAGCAATCACTCAAAGAAGAAAAAAGAGTTACCTTTTCCATAACTGGTGTTCTTCAAAATGTGTTGCTCATGTCCGTTCAACGAACCACCCTCCTTCCCCACTGTTGGAGTTTCCAGCAAGAAGGAACTGAGGGTGGAGGGGGCTGGTGGCATCCTATATGCTGCGGCATATGTGTGCCACTCCAGGGGGCGCCAGAGCTGGTCCCCTACGGATACTGCTGAGGGAAAAACTTCCGGCACCTGTGCATGTGGCAAGCGCACACACGTAAGATGAATGGACATGAGCAACACATCTCGAAGAACATCAGTTGCGGAAAAGGATAACTGTCTTTTCCTGTATAATTTAGGGACTTTCTGATGATGCCTGTTGGGCTGTATGTGTTACACAGTGGACACCTGAGAAGTTACAATCCCCCTTGAAGGTGCTATGCTGTGGTTTCAGTAGAGATATGGAAAAGCCAGGACATTTGGCTCTAGATTCAACTCCTTTCCATGCCCTTCAATGCCTTCTGAGTCAGAGGATGTGGCTTTGGACCCACCTCAAGTTTCAAGTCCCACTGGAGTTGGCCAAGGAGTTACTCATTCTCTCTATCCTCCTGTCTTGTTAGTCTTTGGTTTGTACTCCTTGTGTTCTCAAGCCCTGATCTCTGGCTCCACCCCCACATTTCTTCCTTTTTTGGCACTCCCAGTGCCATTCTAGCTGTGAGAATCATCCCATTCGGTTTGAGTGGTGCTCCCTAGGTGAGAATCCCCTTCCATCTGCATCTTCTTTCTTGCTCCCCAGGCCCACTGCTTTTGTGCACAGATGCTTTAGAATGTTACTACTTTTCATCTTTTGTTTCAGGAAAACTCCACGAGCCTGCTCCTATTGAAGTGAATGCTAGTTTTGCCATTGACTTCAACATGAGAGAGTGAAGGCTCCCAATTTGTATGTTGAGGTACATGCCAAGTTCTTGTAATTGAGCAATAGTGCCAGAGATATGCATGTGTACACGCACACACAGCGTGATATCAGAGCTGTGGCCTGTCCAGCTCCTCGGATCCAGAAAGTTAAAAACAAAAGTTTAGATGCTATGATAATACAAATAATAGATAACACTAATGTGCCATTGTTTGTTTCCCCACAACTCCCTTCAAATGACACTGCCACCATGGGGCTCTTTGTAAGCCATATGCTTGTCTCCTTTGGCCAGGTTTGGTACGAAGGATTTCTGTGATGCCCACTGCGACTTCCTCCATAAAGTGCATTTCCACTGCGTGGTGGAGGAATGTGGTGCCCTCTTCAGCACCTTGGATGGGGCCATCAAACATGCCAAGTAAGTGGAGGATCAAGAATTCAGAGACACACTCCAGGGAAACCCAAAGGTCACACAGTGTAGGCAGGCTGGGTCGGGACTGCAATGGGGGTTCATTCTGTAACTGCCTTTATGAGTGGGAATGTGGGTTTGCATGGTGGCTGAGAGGGCAGCTGTTGGAGCATCCACAGTCCTGTTTTAAACATATCCGGCTGAATTGCCTGCAGAATAGCTGGGCGTACTCTTTAATTTTCAGTGACTCACAATAAGTGTGCACCGGCATTGTGCTCAGCCTTTGGCAAATGTGTCTCTCATCTGGTTTGCAGTGTCAGCAGGGCTGAGAACTGGCCAGTCCTGTTTTCCCCTAAGCTGCCCAGGAGACTGTGCACCAGGAACACAGCTTCCCAGCATTGTAGAAATGTGCAATAAGAATTACCAACATAGGAAAGACAGATGGGAGCACCCTTGAAAAACCCACCATTCACTGCCCCTCGCACCCTTCTTGGAATGGTGTTGGCAGTGCTGCAGTCACTGCAGAGTGGCAAACGTTGCATTTTTAATGGTGCCCACTGTATTTGTCTCGCCCTCGTCTCTGCAAATCCTGTTTAACAAGCACCTTCCCTGATTACCCAACATAGGAGAGAAGCTGCTTTCTAGGTCCCTATTTCCATGGCTCTGTTTGCTTTAAAGATCTTCGCTGCATGTAGGCAGGAGGCTTGGAGCTGAGGATTCAGCCAGCTCAGCCCTAACATCCCTCTCAGCATGGGCAATATAGCCCAATATAGGCCCTTCTTGTCGCCCTCAGAGTACTTTGGAGAGCAGTGGATGGCCAAGACTGAAGCAGCCAAAAAGTACTTGCATGTGGGCCAGATCCTGAAGTCTATACCACACCCAGAACTCCAACTGACTCCAGTCTGAGTCTTGCATAAAGAAGAACTTTGGGATTTGGCCCCATTGTTGCTACAAGGAGAGCAGCGAAGGAAGGATTGGCCCCAAGTTCCATCTGCACTATCTGGAGACAGAGAGATTAGAAAGTCTAATAGATATTTTCTACCCCAGTTTCCAAGGGCCACCTCCAGCAGTCCCTACTCAAACACAGTTCTTACTGAAGTCAATGGGAGATTTTCCCAAGTAAGGACTGAGCCAGGACTTCAGGGTGTGACCATATGACTGTGGAAGTCTGGATAGTTTTAAATGGAAGGAAACTCAGAGCAAACAGAGCTGGACTCTAGGCCATCAACTCTATCCAGAGCAGGATTGTTTCCTGTTGCATTTTCCACTGCTTTCTTCAGCCTATATACCAATGTCCCAAACAGTGGGGTTCCCATGCCTTCACAGACTGGTGGCTCTCACTGGCAGGAAGATTTTAGACCTACATAGCTCACCTCAATTTTAGTCCATTGCTCCTAGCTACACCTCCATGTGCCTCCTTAAATAATTCCTCTCCCTGTCTGCGACCAGATCTTGGGGGGGAACCTAAAGTCCGTGGGAGCTGGGGCTGCTCGGCAGCTGTCCTGCACTTCTCAAAATTTGGGTCATGGTTTACACCTGTCATGTACTCTGAGCTTGTTGTCATGTTCCCCTGACCCTTGGTCACCACTTAGCCAGCCTCTCCATAATCTGCCCTTTTTTTAGTCAAGGAGTCGGCAGCGTGTGCTTGCTCTCTCTAATTAGAACGGTTGTCTCTTCTCATTGCAGTTTCCACTTCCGAACAGAGGGTGGAGCTGTGAAGGGAAACTCTGAGTCTCCTTTCCCAAGTGCTGCAGAGACCAAGACTTCCTTGGCCCCCTCGTCGCCATCCACTACTTCCGTCACTATGGCAAGCGCTCCCACCCTGGATGTGCCCACTCCGAGCCCAGCGACTGTGCCCTCTGCCCCCACATTGCTAGCTTGGAAGCAGCTGGCTTCCACCATACCCCAGATGCCTCAGATCCCAGCATTGGTGCCTAACCTGGCAACTTCACCCTTGGCAACGACTTCCCTAGAGAACGCCAAGCCTCAGGTCAAACCTGGATTCCTCCAGTTCCAGGAGAAGTGAGTTCCTTGGGCAACAAGGGGATGATTGTCTTGCCTGCCCCAAGAGTCTCCATGTGCCCTCTTCAGCCCCAAGAGAGTAGACAGAGGCTTCTCCCTCCCCACTTCACCTCTGTTCAATGCTTGATCAGCCACTCTGTGTCCACCTGAGGCTTTCTCTTTGCAGCTGGGTGAGAGAGATCCAATGAGAGGCTATTTATTCCACGCCCCAGGGTGCTCTCAGCACTTCTGCCCTCCCCCAATCTTGCAGGAAAGCAGCTATCCCAAAGTCTAACAAATGACTTCTTGAGCACTTAGAAAACCAACCGGATGGTTGAACACATCTGGGAATCCTTTTAGATAAAGTCAGGGGCGGAGGGTAAACCTGCTGACATGTTGTCTCAATTTTGCTGTACCTCTGGGGTGTGAAAGCAAAGATATTGGGCTTTGCATTGTCATTGGTATGGGCCAGAGACTGCAAATCCTTCAGAAAGAAATCATGGTTGCCTGGTTCCAGGCTTTGTTGCGAAGCTAGACTTAGGTGATGTTTGCAAAATGTTTGGTGAAACTGGTCTGGGTTTGAGGCCAAGTTGGACCAGGTTTGGGATAAGTCTGGGCAAAATTAGGCCAATATGTGATGAAAACCAGGAGAAATTTAGTGAGTGATTTTTGACCTGAAACAAGGTGAAACTTGCCATGTCCAGCTATGTTTCTCTTAAAGCAAGGACTGTCATCTGCAAAGCTAACGAGAAATGGGTTTGTACAGATGCCTGGGAAGGAAATTCTTCTTGGCTCTGCCCACAGTAACACCTGCTGCCTCTTCTTTAGAACGTCAAATCTGTATCTTGGACTATGCAGCGCATCTTCCTTTTCTCACTAAAAATGATAAACTGGAAAAAAAGAAAGTGCTCACATGCTTTGATCAAACCAGGAATGGGGGAGAAGGGGAGCAGATGCATCACTTCCTGCCTTGGAAGAGCTTTGGCATCCCAGCTGGGCTGCTGTGCAAGGGTAGCAGGTCTCCTGAAGTGCTTTGCTCCCATTTGCAATGTTATTTGCTATGATTTACAAGGTAATTCAAGGGCTAAGCATTTGCCTAAGTGCAGCTGTAAAATAACACCACCACTTAGCACCTTGTTAGAGTTTTCTGCTTCAAAGCCTTTTGCAAACATTCATGAAGCTTCATAACACTCCTGGGAAGCAGGCAAGTGTTATCTCCATTTTACAGATCGGGAAAAAGAGGCAGAGAGGTTAAGTGACTTGCCCAGGGCCAATGAAAGAGTATGGGTCACATCTGGGATTAGAACTCTGCAGCTCCTAGCTCTCCATCATGTGCTTAGGCTGTTAGGCCATGTCTCTCTGGGCCAGAAATTGACCCACTTATGTCTTCTTTCAAGTAAGCTTACTACAGGAAGCTCCTGGAGCAGGGAAGGTAGCACTGGGGACTGTGACTTGAATGCACAAGATGAGTTTTTGGCCATCTTATATACTAAGCCCTAGAAATTCCCCATAGTCTATATTTACATGGCCTCACAGTTTGAACTATGGGGGTATGAATTGCTACACAAACACACATGCTGCGTTGCAACTCCCCTGTGTGGACACTGCAGGTGCAACCTAAAAGGAAACTAGTTCGCAGTGACGTAGTCCTCTTTAAACAAGTGCCTTTTCGTTTGCGCCTGCAGCATTCACCTGGGGGAGTAACAACGCAGCTAGTGTGCACTGCAATTCACATCCCACAGTCCGAACCGTGACTTAGACAAGTCCTTAGAGTTCACAAACTAGCCGAAAAACAATGGAACGTGACTGCCCTGGGAGAGGCACCAAGGCAATTTAGATCATCAAATAAATCACGATTGCACAAATTTTGCTTAGCCAAGGGCTCCACTGGCAATGTGCAGCCCGAGTGTTTCACCTAATCTGTGCAAAAAATGGAGCCAATGACAGCTCTCTTCATCCATTAACAGGAAGGTGCAGAATGTGGGGTCAACAGGTCCCATCATGATCTGAAGGGAACCACAGAGGCTCCAGGTCCCAGCATGCAGTGCTCCATCTTCACATACTCCTGTCAAGAGCGTGCACTGCCTGCTGGGGCTGGTAGTGTCTGCAGGCTGCAGCTCCATGTTAACGAGGCTGGCCATGGGAGCTCTGTGGGCCGCATGTGGCCCATAGGCTGCACTTGGGCTACCCCTCAATTAAATGAGTGAATGTTGGGAAAGAAGCCAAGGTGTGAGGAAAGAAATGAGGATGATGTCTGGATTTTGGCTGTGTTCCAGTGACCCCTGTCTGGCGACAGACTGCAAGTATGCCAACAAGTTCCACTTCCATTGTCTCTTCGGGAACTGCAAGTACGTGTGCAAAACCTCTGGCAAAGCAGAGTCCCACTGCCTGGACCACATCAACCCCAACAACAACCTGGTGAATGTGCGAGACCAGTTTGCTTACTACTCCCTCCAGTGTCTCTGTCCAAACCAGGTAAGAGTAATCCAAGAAGAGTGCCCCTAGAGGTGGGCCAGGCAGGGGCTGTGGAGAAGAGGGAAAGGATGCAGGAGAAAAGGAAAAGGTAAAAGCCTGGCAAAGACAGGAAGACAACCTGGGGCCAATTCATCCCTAATGTTGTTCTACTGAACCACTGAATGAATCTGGCCTCTGATGCACAGAGCTATTTGAAGGGTATAAATTAGAGAGAGCAAGACTTGGGAAATCAGCTCCAGACCAAAATATAGGCAGTTTGTATTTGTTCAGAGTGGGGGTGTGGGAAGGTGTTGATTTTGGGCCTATTTCTAGTGTAAACGCTAAGTAAGGCTATGAGATAAAATGAAACAGGCAAATGGAGGTTGAATATCGGCAAAGGCTGCCTGTTAGATAGTGGAATAGTTTCCCAAGGGAAATGGTGGAAGTCCTATGATTTGAAAATAGATGGCCCGCTGAAGAGCAAATGCACTGTGCCCCTTGAAGAATGGACAGTGCGTGACATGGAACTGGAGGCCTTGCCCACCTGTGACATTAATAGCTCTGTGACCTTCAGAGAGAAAGCAAGTTGCAGCAGGCAACTGAGAGCACGGTTGCTGGATAAATCTAAAACAACCTGTCTCATTGGTTCCTTACAGCACTGTGAGTTCAGGATGCGAGGACATTACCACTGTCTTCGGCCTGGCTGCTACTTTGTGACCAACATCACCACCAAACTTCCCTGGCATGTGAAGAAACATGAGAAGGCAGAGCGAAGAGCAGCCAATGGTTTCAAGTACTTCACCAAACGGGAAGAGTGTGGCAGGCTAGGTAAACCCACCTTGTTCATCCAAATCATGAGATATACTGCCTGACAGCTCCGGCTGATAGCATACTCACTCTCTGGGTCACTTTCTCAATCTAAGGGTGTAGCCATTCTCCCGATACACTAGAGACTTCAGTCATTATAAACTTTCCTTTGACAATATTTTTCATATTCTCTCTGGGCAGAGGCACCTGTAGTTTAGCTTACGGGACCATTTGACCCTATCTTATCTTGAAAGAATGTAAGTGAAATTTTCCCTCAATGTTTATAGTTGTAGTACTTCTACATCCACTATCAAGGATGTATTTAGATCACGTGACCCTGTCTTGGCCAACTTGGGGTGGGGGAGCCCAAATAGGTATAAAAATGACCCACTTGGGCTTTGTAACTGTTCATTTATATAATCCAGAACATGAGTGAGCCTCAACGCACTTGACACAAAGATGGATTAAATAAGACACAGAATTATCATTCCCATTTTACAGGTGCACAGAGGTTAATTTCGCTACAATCATTTTGTAGGTTTTAATAGCAAAATCAGGAACAGAACCCAGTGATCTTGTTTCCCAGGCCCCTGCTCTAACCATTACAGAACACTGCCTTCTGGAGCCAGGAACAGAAGCCAGGCATTATGGCACCATCTAAATTGTAGACCGCACTATAGCTGAGACACAAACCGACAGAAGTCAAAGATACAAAGAGTTAAAAGGAGAAACATCAGCCCCACACATAGAGGAAAAGTTAGGGTTGTGCCCCACCGAGGTTCTCTTCGGTGCCTAAATATTGGAGTATATGAGTATATATCCATTTCTGCCCTGGCTGAACAGGCTCCAGCTTGTATCCCCAGTGTTCTGATCAGGGGCCAGGGTCCTGTGAGCTTAGCTGCTATGGCCATCTCCACACTGGCAGGAGAGGGCTGGAAGGCCTCTTCATTTCTGCTCAAAGAAGCCAGCCTGTAGGCCTTGCCCCTTTCTTCCAGATGGAATGACCAGGCTCTGGAGGAGCAGCTTCCCCCTTTGATTGTTCGAGGTCTTTTCTTGCACCATGTGCTCTGCTGAACTTGTTGCTTGTTTTGGGCTAGAGTAGGCTGGGGGGAAAATGTTTTCAGTCTGGAAGCAAACAGAGAATGGTGGGAAATGTTTCTGTTTTGATGACTGCTACTCCCTTGTGTGAGAAGGAATTTTCACACCTCCCAATTTTGCCTGATTCCAGGCAGTTTAAGATGAAACTCTTTGATGTGCATTGCCAGGGCTGCATATCAAAAGGATAAATATTCCACCCCCCTGGCCTCTGCAGTAGCTTCTTTCAGTGCGAACCTTCCACTAGAGTGTCAGCTCATCCAAATATCTGATACAAGGCGCTGTGCTGGGCTCCTAGGTTTGCCCGCTAGTTAGATTCATCAGGTAGCACCAAAGCAGTTATGAAATATCAGCGCCTAAAAGCATCCAGCAAAAAGCAGGGAAAACAATTAGAGTCCCCACAGACAGCACCCCAGAGCCTCCATCCCACTGCATGGGACTCACATGGCCATTGTTCATTTTTGGCTTAAGTAAACCAATCAGCCCTGGTCAGAGGTTTGGCCTCAGCAGCCCCAGCAGGATAGCTCAGCCTCTTTGTCGTTTCCTACAGTTCCCTGGACACAGCTTACTCTAGAAGCAGTCAATTATTTTATGTCAAGGTCCAGATTCAAGAAAAAATAATAATAAATAAATAAAAAGATTCTGGGATCCATTCAAAAGCATCTGGCGGTCCGGATTTGGCCCACGGTCCGCCTGTTGACTACCCCCAGTACGCTGTTGAGAAGCAGGAGAGGGAGAGTCAATGGCCAAAAAATACAAACCCATGACAACCAGAACAAAAATGCTCCCCTCAGCTTTTAATTCATGAAAAATGTATGCTTGAGCGATAGGTCGTCCATGGTAATCAAGGCAATAAGTGTCAACACACCGAGGCCGGTCCTTACCTGGGGTCTTGGTTTACAAATGTCAGGAGATTGAGCAGTTGCTGATATTTACTCAACTTTTGGTATTTCAGGTGATAGCCAGGGCTAGACAAAGCGGGGCGATGATATATGATACTCAGCCCGCCCCGCTGCCCTAGCAACGGGCAAGTCTTCACCTGCCCTTTGCTGATACTGTTTCAGTCCCGCCAGCACTGTTTGTTCTTCATCCCAAAGAACAGCACAAAAATGATGGGGAGGGCAGATGAGGTAGGAGTGTGGGGGAGGAGGGCCGGAATATCTAAACAAACACAAACTTGGCTTACACATAAAGCACCATCTCCGCCTTAAAGACAGGGCGAATGATTCAGGAGCTGTTTGGCAATGCCATGCCTACTATGTGTGTGGGCACGTACATGTAGGTATGTCTTTCCACGTGACTGTAAATGAGTGTCTGTGTATGTTTCCATATAGGCATGTCTGTCGATGTGGGCAGCTAGATGTGTTCCTGCATCTGTATGCAAGTGTGTCTTTTGTTCTCTAGGTCTGTGTTGTGTGTACAGCAAGTGCCTCTGTATGCCTGTGTTGAGGTTTGTGAGTGTGTTTACATCAGGTGCGCATCTGTAGGTCTCTGTCAGTGTGTAGACATGCCTATGGTTTTACTGCAGCAAGCTATACTTCAGCTACAGGATGTGGTCTGGGGATTGTCTGGTAATCAGCCACACAGATTCGTAGTGATTTGCATGAGGGAGAATCCAGCATTTTCCCATAAAAAAAACAATAATGGGGCTGTTTAACTGAGTCTCCTTGTCTGTCTAGAGGCAGGTCCAGCATGCCAGAATCCGTGTAAGCCGTTTCCATTACCCTCGGCCTGGTACCAGCCCCTACGTCACCAAACCAGGAGTAGCAACAAACACTTCCTGGCTTCTCCACATTTGGCCTGGGACCATGCACTGGTCAGAGCTGGAAGGTTGGGGATGGGACAGAGGAGCCTCACAGCCCAGGGTGTTAAAGGGATTATCATTCTGCTTCCAGAGCACACAGATCAAAAGGAGCTGGCTGTTTCCAACATGGAACAATCCCTGATATTATTCTTACCTTCTACTTCAATTGTAAGCTCCTTGGGGCAGGGCCTGTCTTTTTGTTCTGTGTTTGTACACCACCTAGCACAATGGGGTCCCGGTCTACGATTGAGATCTCTAGGTGCTGGCAAAATGCAAATAATCAACATTAATCATATGTTTCCCCCTTGTTCCCTCTGTCACAAGAGGGATGGGGGTGGTACTCTGTGGCTCAGGGCCACTTCCTGTGTCTAAATCAACCACATCCTTTCTCCCCATTACTCAGCTTGGGAAGGATTTCATTTTGGGTCTGGGGCTGTCATTGAAGAATCCACAGAGCACTCCAGATAATCAGGATTCAGTATGGCAGCAGTCTGGCGCTACCTCCAGTGTGTGCTGATACAACCCTTTCTCTTGCTATTTTAATGTACCAGATTTGTATTGGTTTTGTGTCTGCAGGTTGCAAGTATAACCAGGTGAACAGCCATTTCCACTGCATTCGAGAGGGCTGCCAGTTTTCCTTCCTACTCAAGCACCAAATGACGTCCCACGCCAGGAAGCACATGAGGAGGATGCTGGGGAAAAACTTTGACCGAGTTCCCACACAGGTGAATCCACTGGTTATTTAAGCAGCAGATACGTATGTAGTGATGCACCTTCGATTGCTCACTGCAGAGAGGCCCTGGGCTGAGCGCTGCTAGGTCCCCTCCCTGCAGCACTACAGCCAAGACTCACGCACCTAATCTCTGAATGCCCCACACTCCACCTAGAGTGCAAAACGTCACACTCCCAACCTCTAAGTGTAGTAGGATACACACCTCAGGGCACCGGTGCCAATGTACATACTCCCATCTCAATGCATAAGAATCCACACACCAGGATCCTGGTGCCAAGATTACCACTCCCAGCCTCAGTGCCGTAGGATCCACTTGCCAACATGTTCCAACTATCCCTGAAGAACAATGTCAGAGAAAACTGAACGTGTAAACAGATGGCTTTGGTCTTGACATCTTGCTTTTGGTGTGAAAAGTCCGTCTTAATTTCTTGCTGCAGGTTATTGGCCACACTTCAAGAAATGAAAATCTCCCCCATGTTGGCAGCATGGCACCCAGCCCAGCTTCATCAGGAACCCCAGCTTCCTTTCAGGGACCCCAAAGCATGATGGACATTGAAACAGATGAGTACATGGATTACACTGGCTGTAGCCCCGGGGGCATCTCCTCTGAATCCTCCAATATGGACCGCAGCTGCTCCAGCACTCCAGTGGGCAACGAAAGCACATCAGCAGGTAAGGGGCAGCAGGGGAGAAATAGATTTGCAGGTCTCTGCTGCCAAGAGCCCTAAACTCACAACCAGAGGCCAAGGAGAAACTGTGCCTTCTGACACATTGTGTCAGCCCCTGGCTCAACAGAGTATTGCCTTACGCTAGCCTAGCTCCCCTCCATCATTCACAGAGAGGGAGCCATTTCCACATAGTTCTGGGCTGTCCCTTAACTCCTGACATTCCCTTCTTTTTCTGCCTCTGAAGAGGTTTTTGTCCTATCTTTCGGAGCTGGACCGGTTTGAATAATTGAATTGCTCAATATCTGTACCAGAGCCGTCGAGTCATTAGGACTGTAAAGTTAATTTCCCTTCCTGTTCTGCTTCCTGCCTTCCCCCAGTATCTTTTGTGTTACACTGTGCCACATCTAGAAGTCAGAGGTTTCCCTGCACTCCTGATGCTCAATAAACTGGACAACAGAGACCTCCTGGCTTCACTCTTTCAGGAAGTGATGTGTAAGTAAATGAGAACCTCTGCCATCACTTTCTCAGGAAGTGACCTATAAAAGCAGCTCCTCTCCCCTTACAAGTTGTGATGCAGAAAAGAAAACCTCTAACGTCACTACCTCCTTATCAGAGTGATGCACAGAGGAGATCCCCTGGTGTCATGTCTGCTTTATGCATCCCTTCCTGTTTTGAGGATTGAGATTTGACCCTGCCTAACTTCTGTAAATTATGGGATTCTCTCTTCAGCAGGCAGATACAGAACTCATCTCTAATACCCTGTAGCAGTAAGTAAGGCTCCCTTAATTGTCCTTACCTCTGGCTGCCTGTTAGTATTCCAGGAAAGCTTTCTGTGAACTCTCCCCAGGGCTGCTTGTCTCTGAGTCTCTTTATAACATTTATTGTCTTTTGGGATCTTAGTTTCAGACCTATTTTTTTCCTACCTTGCCTTCCAACACTGATTAAATGAAAAATCAGGTGACAACCTGAGCCCAGCATTTCCCTGCCCAGGGGGTTCAGCTCAGACCTCAGGGCTGTGGGGTGGATGTTCATCTCCGTTACTTTTAAACAGCAGTAGGAAATAAGAGTAATGAATGATGCCCACTGACACTGGGTGGAGGCAAGACTAAGGAAGATGTCCTGACCTCTCATGTCACAGGGGCACTAACACAACCTCTGCACGCTACCCTGACATAAACATTCCACGAGAACGACAGCTGCACGTAGTGCTAAAGCTCCTCCAGAGGGTTTGGAGGGGCAGCAGCTCCCAGGATTCTCTATTAACTAACTGCACCGTCAGAGCCATCAGTCACACCTCCCGGAAAACAACCCACTGACTAATAACCATGTTATGAGTGAATCCGAAAGCCTCTGGGATAACACCCTGCAACAGAGTCCTCTCAGCAGCAGGCCGGTGCACGCTGGCGCCACGTGGATGAACAGACAAGCTAAGAAGGGAGGAATTTCTTTTTGGAAGCCAGGTGGCTCCACCCCCTGCAATTAAGGCCACTCCTTGTTTTCTGTGGTGACAACCATTCCCCCTGCTGCTGCTGCTGTCAGTCACGCATCTTCCATCTCCTCTCTGTTACAGTTCTGTTTTGTACATGTGTGAATGTATTTTCCATTTTCATCATATTGCTTCCACTCTTGGGTTCTCATTTCGGTTCTTTTGTTTTTCCTTTTTGTTTTGTTTTTTCTGCTATTTTTTTCTCTCCACATTCTCCAGGCTGCCTGGTTCCTCCTCCTCCTCCTACTGCTGCCGCTGCCGATGATGCTATCCACAGTGCACCACAACCTCCACCGCCACCTCTGCCTCCATCTTTCTCACAAGCCTTGCTCAGGTCTCCCCTTCCTTCCCTCCCCTACCTCTTCTCTCCATCTTGTCTCTCATACTCTCTGCTCAGTGCCACTCTTGGATCCAGCAGGGGCATTGTCATGCCTGCCACCAGCACACCTGGTTTCTCGCCCATCATTGCCACTCCAACTCCAGTAAAAAGTGACGTTCCCCTAGTTCAGGATGCAGCAGGTAATTCTTATATGCTTTATCTCTCAGTGACAGCTCCCCCTGCCCATAGTCTCTTCCCACCCCTGAGCTCTGTTAAGTCATAAATGGAAAAGACATCACTATCTCTCTCTCTGTCTTGTTTAACTCTGTCCAAGGGCTCCCCCCTACACACACATCCCCTCCCTTCCACTGATGGGATAATAATGTCATGCTGTAAAGATGCCCAAGGAAGGTATCTGAAAGCACAGTAAATCACTGTGAAAAATTCACATGACCAGAAGCAATTCCTCATCAATCCCAACCCAAATCCAACAGCAACATTTGTAAATAAACCTGCTGTTTTTGAGCCTCCTCCTCCTGTTAGGTGGCCAAAATGCAACATGTTGACCACATCGCATAACAGGACTTGGAGACTGGTTTAGAGCTCTTTGGCCATCCAGTCTAGTAGCTCCCAACCCTTGCTGCACATCAGTACAGGTCATTCCAATGTGCACCATAGAACTTGGGACTGGCTTTCTCTATCGCATGTTTTGGGGTCTCATGGGCACAGGTGATGCCACTGACATGATGCATCTCAGTGATCTCTGTTGCACCCACAGTTATTTACATCCACCAATTACAGCTGCAGAAAGTAAGGCTGGTTTTCAAACACCTCAGGCCCTCAGTGTTTCCTACATGACAGAGCTCAGGGACATCACAGACAGGGGCGTTTTATACCAGTTGAGAATGGCTTTTCAGGGCGTGCTCAATTTTGCCCTCTTTTCCCAGCCTGGCTCCTTCTCGGTTACTTGGAAGCATATTTGTGCTGGCAAAGTTATGTTTTTAAAAAGACCCACAGCTCAGAAACCTGAGCTATCCTCTCCCTCTGCTAGCTAGGCACAGTGTAAGCATGCAGAGGTGTGAAACTCCCCAACAGTGGTCATTGCCCTGCCCAGAGCTTCATGGGGATTTTGAGTGCTTAAGTGGGATTTAAATTACGCCTTCACTTGTGGTGGCCCTCTGTAGAGGGAGTGTGGTCCAACAGACAGACAGTCACAAAACTGAACTCTTCTGACAGGCAAATCAGATCACCTCATTCTGTCTCAGTTTCCTCATCTGTAAAATGAGGATAATAATACTTTTTAAAGTATTCTGATGCCGATAGGTGAAAAGTACTGTATAAAATCATCTTCTGCTGACAGCATAGGCTGACTATAAACTACTTACAGTTGAGACCTGCTTCGGCCTAAATTTGTTGAGGCATGTTTGTCTCTAATTAGTTATTAGGGAATGAGCACTATCTAGTGGTTAGAGCAGGAGACATAGAATCACAACTGCTGGGTGGTTCTCCATCTTCACCCACCCTACGGAAGGAAGTTGAACTAGGTTAATTAAATATGTGATTTTAAACAGCTTTAGTTAAACTGATACAAAAGGTAAACACTTAGTTTAAGATGAGCTGAAATAAACCTGGCTTAACCAAACTGATTCAAAATTGTCATAAGCTAAACCAAAACAAGCCACTCTCACATCAAAGTATGTGTCCATACTGGAGGGGGGCATGGGGATCTTGCACTGGTTTAACTAAACATGCATTTCAGTGAGGACAAGGCATCAGTGTCCTTGGGCAAGTAATTTAACCTCTCTGTGCCTCACCTAGCTCATCAGTATTATGGGAATAATGATACTTACCTACCTCTTAAAGACAGTGGGAGACTCAATTAGTTACTATGTATACAGTGCTAGGGATTATTCAGTAATGTACACACCTCTTTAAAACCATTAGTGGTTTAATACTTCTTTGTAATATAGATACATGGGGCCGCATTATCTGCTGACTTACACTGGCTTTACCCCAATGCAATTCCATGACTTCTATGTTGCTGTTATTAGTTATCGTTTGTTTTACAGCAGCAGCTAGAGACCTCAAAGGAGATCAAGGTCTCATTATGCTAGGTGCTGTATACACCCAGCAAGAAATGGTCCCTGCCCAAAGAGTTTGCACTCGAAATAGAGAAAGAGGGTGAGAGAAAGGGAAACTAGCAGAAGATTTGGGAACTGAGGCAGAGAGATTACATGGTTTGCCCACGGTCACACAGTGAATCTGACAGCACCAGGAATTGAACTCAGGTCTCCCAAATTGCCATCCAGTGCCTTAACCCCAAACTACGGAATTACTCCTGGTTAATCACAATGTAAATAAGATCTAGAATCAGGCCCAGTAACTAGACTCTTGCAATCTTTTTCTTCCTCTCCAAAATAGGAGTGTAGCAAGGAACTGGCCTGGAGATCAGTGTCCTGTACCAGGACATGAGTGCAGCCTGCAGAGCACCCCTGCACCTTGCCACCTATAAGCGCAGATTTGTGTCTGAAAATAAAGTGTGATTTGGGGGACCTGGACCATAATGGGATAGGGATTCTGTAACCTTGAATTCACTGGTTTGAATCTGGTTGAGCTTAATAGTGATGAAGAGTTATTATCTCTCTGGCGGCTGTTTAGAGGTGCAGATTAAATCAGTGTAAGGGGGCTTAGCCCAGTTCCTAGTGAACATCACTAAGACAGCCTTCACTGTGAATTGCCTCCTTTGTTGCCAGTGTCACCAGAGACACCATGCATACTGAATGGGCAAGTGAGACTTCTGTCCTCTGCCTCTCTCTCCTAGGCATGGGCTCACTCTAGAGGGATGTTGGCATTGTACTGGGTGGAGTACTCTGGGGGGAGTTTGGCCTACTGCCATCCATGCCATCCCTGCTTGGTGGAGAGTTTGAACTCTTCTATCTCCAAGGTTTTCAGTCTGGTGCTGTTCCTCAGTATTCAGTGTTTCTCACCATTTTGGAGACTCCATTTGATAAGCACCATCCTAGCTTCAAGGGGCATCATCTAAGGCCCTCCCATGGCTGACACGGGAAAACCAACATCTACCACCTTGAGTACATGCTTACAGTCAGCAAAAGAACTTTAAAGCATTCAAACAAATGGTCGAGTGTGTCTTCAGACTCCTAGAGCAGGATGCAAACTGCTTTGGTGCTGGGACCCAGACACTCATGACACAGACCATGCCTCTTTTCAACAGGATGGCAGCCCCAGCATGCAGCTAAGGAAGGCCCGTTTTAATGGGAAACTGTAATTTCCAGTGAAATTCACCATTTTGCACCTGGTGAGAGAGTCTTCTTGCCTCCCCGAGTCCTGCTCTGAGCACACTGGATCTGGAGCTAGGGGTTTTTCGTCTTCCTCTGCAGCATGGGGTACCGGTCACTGCCAAGTGCAAATGGTGGATTCTCTGTAACTTTGAGGATGTCAGTAACTCAGTCAAAGGCTAGGGGTCTATTACAGAAGTGGGTGGGTGAAGTTCTGTGGCCTGCTATATGCAGGAGGTCAGATTAGATGATCATGACTGTAAAGTCTCTGAGTCTATGATTTGACCTGAGGAATAACCAGTGGGCAGAAGAGGAAGGAAATGTGGATGTAAGGTGGTCAAATTCTTGGTATCAGGTTCAGTCCTCTGGGACTCCGGCACCTATCTCCAAGGATGGGAAACTGATATTGGTCCCTTCGTGGCAAGCGGGTTGATTGTTGAGGCTCAAGGAAAGGCTTTAAAAGTGGGATTTTTCTCTTGGAGCCCAATGGATAGTCATTTGAGAATTACCCCTACTGAACATCTGTCTGTGTGTGCTTATCAGTGTAATATTTAGGCTGATTCTGGCCAAAGTGCATCCTGCTTCTAAAAATCCCCCCTTGCAGTTTTAATTAGATGCGGTGAGTCTTCTCCACTTCCTGTCCTAAATAGCTGTGCCCGATTAAACAGCAGTGAGGGGAAAGGATGCTGTGTGTAGTTTATAAAGCACTTGGGGATTGTTTGGGGTGAAAGGAGCAATCAAAGATCAATGAAAGTGCCACATTCCGTGGACTGGGATGAGCTTACTCCTGGGGAAGGAGGACTAGAAATAAAGTGACGGGAGAGGCTGGGAGATTTTTGACCCTGACAAGAAGCAACAGCTGATGCTTGGACATTATCACGTCTACAAGAGTGGCAACTATAAGGATTTCCTGGTGCCAAGCAACACAAATAGCATGGGGGTAGAGTATGTCAGGAAATCAGGTTGACTACGGCCACAGTATTGAATGAGCACTAATCGGCACACCTTCCTCAGCCCCTGTCCAGGATACAAGGCTGGTCAGGTGACTTACTGGGCTGGGGGCTGCTTCCCCTGCAGCATCGTGCATTGTCCACGGGTCGTAGGTAGAATACGGGGTATGATCCAACCTGGCAATTACCATGTTGGTTACAGGAGGTGATAGGAGTTCCTGCTGCCCCTCTATGAGTAACACCACTTTCCTCTTCCTATTCCCAGGGAACACCATCACCATGCCAACTGCCTCGGGGGCCAAAAAGCGCTTCTGGATCATTGAGGATATGTCTCCATTTGGCAAGCGCCGCAAGACAGCCTCCTCGCGCAAGATGCTGGATGAGGGGATGATGCTGGAGGGTTTCCGGCGCTACGATCTCTACGAGGACTGCAAGGACACCAACTGCCAGTTCTCTCTCAAGGTCACCCACTACCACTGCACCCGGGAGAACTGCGGCTACAAGTTCTGCGGCCGAACCCACATGTACAAGCATGCCCAGCATCACGACCGCGTCGACAACCTGGTGCTGGACGACTTCAAGCGCTTCAAGTCCTCGCTGAGCTGCAACTTCCCCGACTGCCAGTTCTCCGGCAACAGCACGCACTTCCACTGCCTGCGCTGTGGCTTTCGCTGCACCGACAGCACCAAGGTGACCGCCCACCGCAAGCACCACGGCAAGCAGGACGTCATCAGTGCTGCTGGCTTCTGCCAGTTCAGCTCCAGTGTGGACTGCGAGGTGCCGGACTGCAAGTACAAGCTCAAGTGCTCCCACTTCCACTGCACCTACCCCGGCTGCAAACATACTGTGGTGGGCATGTCACAGATGGACTCACACAAGCGCAAGCATGAGAAACAGGAGCGGGGGGAGCTGCCAGCCATCTCTCCCGGCCCTGAGGGCCTCCATCACTCCACCCTGGAGTATGACATCCAGAACTCTTCCGTAAACCTGGACAGCTCCCTCAACCTCAGCACTGATGCCAACAGCTCCCTCTTCTTCCTGCAGAATGCAGCTGGCGTGGGCCTCAGTGACTCCTTGGACCTCAGCAAGAAGCTACCGGAGGCTGCTGCTGGCCCATCACCCAGCAGAGCAGGGACAAGCCCTCACGAGAGCAGGGTGATGGTATCCAACTCCGGCGATGTGGAGGATGAAGACGAGTCATCCCAAGATGAGGATGAGGATGAGGAGGAGGAGATAAATGAGGAAGAGGATGATGATGAAGAGGATGACGATGATGATGACGACGACGAGGAGGAGGAGGAGGAGGAGGAAGACCTGAACACAGACTCTGAAGAGTCACTCCCCGACCCTGAGGGCCTGGCCACTAAAGAGGATGGGGAAACAGGGGAGGCCTCTACTTCCATAGACCATGGCGATGCTTCCAGGCCTCTGGGTGAGCCAAACCCAGACTTCACATCAGCCCCCACCCCTGCCCTGACCCCAGCCCACACCCTTGCACCGGCAGCTTCTCCTTAACCTTAGAGACAGCAGCAGGTTTGGTTTTGCTCTTAAATGAAATTATTAAGAGGACCCCTTATGAGGCGAGAACAAAGCACCGGGACGGAAAGTGACAAAACGAACTCCATACCGCACGCATGAGGCCCCACGGGACCGACAGGACAGACATGGTCGCATGGGGCCAGCGCACCATCACTTCATTCTGCGGATGACAGAAGACAGGGCAGGACGCAGAGACACGAAACCCTTCTAGATGGACACTAGCTCTGAGGGTGACATCTGCTCTCCTTTCCTCCCCCCATTGTGGGGCGTGTGCCCAGTCTCGGGACCCCTTCTTTTGGGGTGGGCTTTTCCCCCCTCTTTTATTTCTGGATTTTATTTTTCCATGGTTTTAGTTGTATGATACTAATAATAATCTCCACTCCTCGGAAGGGGGTGTGGGGATGGCAGGTGATGAATTTTAGAATTATATGGGTTTTTTTAAGTGCGTGTAAGGAACTGGTGGCACAAAGGCAACTAGCTAAGCCTTTACCAGTGGGGGCGGGGAGGTCTTTTTCTTTTTTCCAGCATTAAATAAATGGGAGAGACTGATGCACCAGACAGCAAGGGTGGGAGGGGGTATTTATTGTCTTACAAACGAGGAAGCATTAATGAATCAGTGGGGCTGGGAATGGAACACTTCTCTGTTCTTCCAGATCCTCTTTATTATTATTAATAATAATAATTTTTAAATGCTATTTATATTGTTAAGCTTCCCTTTGTCTAGAACTGTCGGAACAGCTGTAGGTCACCTCCCCCAGCTCCTGCTGATCTCCTGGTAGTGATCTAGCTGCAGCCATGGTAGGGAAGGTCACCATATGGCGGTTAAAGGGTCTGTCACTCACACTGGAGGACTGGGGTTTAACCCCCACTCCCATCCCCAGGTGCTACCCTTTTTTCTCCAGATTTAGGCTCTTTCTTTTTGGTGCTTCAGAGACAGTACCCCTGTCTCAGGCAGGCTGTGAATGGAGGCAAGAGTAGAAGGTGAGATTAGCATCCTTTGCCTTGGTGCAGCTGGAGGGGAAGCACTCCTGCTGCTGGAAGAGCAATGCCTTGCTAAATGCTACTTGCCCTCTGACGCAGGGCAATTGAATTTTTTAAATGATGAGCAAGCAGAGTATCCTCAGTGTTTTCCTCCTCAAGGTGAGGGTGGGCAAGTAGATTCTGTGCAAAGGCTAATGAATTTCCCGAAGGGGAGAGAGAGCATAGCCACCACCCACACAGAAAGGGTGGGGAGGATTAATGCAGATACTGGGCCAACTTGGCTCTCTCCTCAGATGCTGGATAGAGAGCTATTGCTTGCTCAGGTCCTGTACCCAAATACCCTTGTCTGCTGTCAGCCACTCCTGTGGCACGGCGAGCAGTGGAACCTGAGGGCACGGCTACCTGCACTGCAGCAGGGTGTCAAGCCTACTCCACATGGGCGAATGGCACCAAGGCCTGCAGCACAGTTTATGCAGTGCCTGCAGGCAGCACCATGGTAGTTGGACAGACCTACAGCACTCAAATGGTTACAAGCTCTCCCGCTGTTCTCTTCCCCCAACCCTGCCAGTAAAGAGTTTACACACACACACTACAGGAGACTATCCAGCATTCTCACAGATGACAGTTTCTGTTTGACCCCCAAGTCCTGAGACAGAGAGCTTGTCTACACATGTGCACTGGCCCCAGAAGGACTAAAGGTGTGAATGAAGCTTGATGTAGTGATTTTGGTGCCAGTGTGTAGACCAACTGGGCATTTTGCTCCCTTGTGTCTAAGACTTTGCCCTTGTTTATTTTGTTCTGTTTTAATTATTTTTTCTAATAACAAACCCCCTAAGCCCAAGGAATCCCTGTCATTCATTTCTACCCTACACAGAAAGAGGCCTCAAGCAGTTTGGGTTGTTTTCTTATTATTTTCCTAAGGAGCCAGCGCGGATCTGGGTCTGAATGATAGACAAGCTCCTCAGCTGTTTAAATGCAGGGAGATGTTTGGATAATGCTTAAAAAGGAAAGGGGGGGGGAGAGAAAAAGGAAAAAAATAACAAAAAAAGGATTGTACAGTATTTTTCCTTTAAAGGTTATTATATATAGAACAAAGAGAAACAATGCCTGCCAGAGGGAGACGGGCCTGCCTTCTGGATAGCCCCTTAGAGCCTAGATTTGGTTACTTGTGTGCAATTTTTTTTTTCTCTTTCAGGGTTTGGGGGGTTTTTTTTTTGTTTGTTTGTTTTTAGCATTTATTGGTAGGGGGCAGCAAAGGGGGGAGGGGCCTTAACCTCATAGTTTGAGGCTGTCTTCATACTCCTAGCACTGACTGGAGCTGCACGATTCCGAATTTTAACTTGAATTTTGTAGACAAACAAATGGCTGTTGTGAAAAGAAGTTTGTAGTTTAATTTAATATGGTGGGGGCGGCGGTTTGCTAGCGGTTATTTGTGTGGCTTTTATTTTTCATATGGTTTTATTTTTGTTTGTTACTCTTCCCCGCCCCCCACCCCGCTTCTTGTTTTCTAGTACAGTCCTCCCCTATTGTTCCCCACACACACCAATATAAGGAAGCTAGCTTCCTCAGTGAGTAGAGAGAGGGACGTGGGGCATGTTGTCCCAGAGGCAGGATGGGTTAGATTGGCTGTACTTAGAGCATTTAGCCGCAGGTTTTATACTGTGTTGCCCTTGTCCAAGCACTTACCTACTAGCGTGATGGGTGCTATAGAAAACCCTCTAGTCCTAACATGGCTCCAAATCTGCAAATACACACAGCAGTGCTTAATTTGCACCATTGACGTCAATGGTGTTTTGCCATTTACTTCAACGGGACTGCAAGCTTAGAACTCCATACAGTCATAAGGGTGTTCAGGATTGGGGGGGCCCTGGAAGGGGTAAGGTAATGGAGATGGATAGCTCCCTGCAGCTAGTGGTTGCTATGCAGGACAGCTAGGAGCCTGCATCTTCAGTTTTGCCTCCCCGTGTTCAGATCTCACCAGCCTCCACTGACTGAATCCTATAAGGTGGCAGCTGAAAGCAGCTGTGTAGGGCAGAGGTCTGAGAAGAGAACCACCACTCCCTCCCCCACTCTCAACCCCACAGTGCCTCAAGCAAGAGCTGCGTTTATGACTCATCCCTGCCCCCTGCCCCCCCCCCCCATCCATCTCTGACCCATACATCAAACCCTCTTCCGACCTTAGACAGTTCTTATTTTCAGGAGCTGGCACTGGAAAAGGACAGGCTGGTACCAGACTCAGCCCACCCAACAAGGGCCTGATCTGGCAACACGCTGAACTCCCCCCATAGCACTCACTGAGAGTGCCCACCACCTCAAGATGGGGCCTCAGGTTGACCCGCACTGCTCAATCTGCCTATCCCTGATTGCATTTCCTTTATTTTCTTTCTTTCCAACTGAAAACTCAAGATGGGTTAAAACCAACAAGTCTTTTTTGCCACATAAAGACCCTGATTCAGGAAAGCCTTTAAGCATAGCAAATAAATTGCGTGGTTATTTTAATGAGACATAAACATGGGCTTCTAGTTAAGCATTTCCTTAAGGGAGTTGCTGAACAGGGATGGATTTAAGTGCGTTCCTGAACTGAGGTCATGTACAGTACACAGGACTCCAGTTCAGCAAGTGGTGTATGACTTTAAGCACTGGAGTCAGTGGGGCTGCTCACATGATGAAATTTAGGCATGTGTTTAAAATAGCTTGCTGACCTGAGGACCAGGGAGTTCAACTGACTGACTTAGGAGCGGGAGAGACAAGACCGAATTAGTCTGTTCAAAACAAAATAAAAACAAACACACAAACAAAGCCCTTGAGACAAACCCTCCCAATTCTGCCACCATTCGCTGCTGAAGAGAGAAAAACAAGCAACTAGGCCATTCTAGACACACACTCAACTGGATTAATGTCTGTGTAGAAGAAATTTTATTAAAAAACAAAAACAAAAAAAAGTTTAAAAAAACTTTTTTTCAATGTAGCAAAAAAAACAAAAAAAAAATCCCCAAGATTTAAAAAAAAAAAAGGGAGGGAGAATTTTAGCCTTTTGTAATATCCATATTGCACACTAGGACTATAAGCCATTGCTAGCTCATTTTGAATTTTAAATGTGTAATTTTGTTTTGTTTTGTTGTTGTTTTATTTTTATTTCCGGGGGGGGGGGAGGGGAATTAATGCTTGAACCACCAATGCTCTTTTTAATGTTTTATAAATATGTATGTGTATATATATATAAATATAAAAACAATATGTATGCACATATATATGTGTGTGTGTATATATCTATATGTATATACATATATATAGATATATAGATAGATATATATAGGTTTTGAGACAAAAAAAATGCAGAAAGTGAAAAGAAAATAAACCACCCTAAACAGGACGGTGTGCTCTGATTTACTTGAATCTGGTCTCTTCGGCACCTGCATTATTAAGAACTGAATATTTTTCCACTTGAATTTAGTGCTATTAGAAATTTAATATATGTGTTTTATTTATTTGATTTTTTTTTTTTTTTTTTGCATGACTGATGCAAGGTTTGACATTTTCACTCAATAAAAACTGGAAAAAAAAACAACCAAACAAACAAATGACGAAGTTGCCTTATTCATTGGGTTTATTGGTCTCTGGCTTGTTTATTTTTAAGGATCTCAAAGGTTTCTGACTGGTTGTGGTTTCTTAAGGCCCCCATCCCAGGGCTGCCACCAGTGCCAGGGCAAAGCCTCTCTATTAACCAGCCACGATTATATGATTGGCACCTGAGTGATGTTTTCATCTGGACTCAAAAGAGTTGAGGGGATGAGCCCTACTGACGATGCCCCCCCAGCTCCTGCAAACATTTAAGCACATGAGTAATTTTACTCAGAGTATTCACTGGGGCTACTCATGTGTAAAGTGTATCCATGTGTGTTCAGTGTTGTTTGCAGGATTGAGGTATGTCTACGCACCATAAACTGTGTACAGACTAGCCTACCCAAGCGAGAACAGGGACCTCCTGGAGTCATGAGATTGAGATGGTGTTGGGGAAAGGCAAGCGCCTTTGCTGGAAGGCTACACAAGCTAGCTTCTATAAACTGCAGTGTTAAAGCCCTGTGCCATGGTCGGGCTAGTAAAGAACCCCGTTCCAGGCAGGGCAACCAACAAACAGGCAGAAGAGACCCCAAGTCCATTCTGGCATAAATTGCTATTTACCTGGTTTTTAGCAGGGATCTGCCCACATCATGCTGCATATCTGTAGGCTGGCGTGACTGCCACCTGCGATTAGATGCATAGGCTGTTGGCTTTGGGCAGCGCTGGAATGCCCTGCCCAAGTGTGACGTGGCACCGAGCAGCAGATCCTGCAGTGCTGAGTGCTGGCTGGAGAAACAGATACTAGATTAGCTAGAGCCCCAGTGGGTGTGCAATACAGCTTGCTCATGCGCCACTGCTGGTCCCCAAACAAGAATTATTCCAGGCCTGCCCACTTGGAGAGAGGGATGTGCCATCCTTTCACCTCAGCTCACATCCACACTGTCTAATAAAGCTGTCCCCTGTTCAGCCTGTGTCTATAGATCCGCTGTACCTAGGCAAAGGAGCTTCTGCTGAATTGACATGCTGTCTACATGTCTCAACCATGTACAGTGAAACCTGCCTTAAATGGCCACCCTCAGGCCGAACACAAATCCACCTGCCTGCCAAGCAGGGCTGGGACTGATTGTCCTCAAAGCACAGACGGTCCCCAGACACTGAAGGCAGGCGCTTGACTCTCACAGCATTCATCACCTTGCAGCCTTGTTCCTCAGCCCTGGCAGCGCCAGGTGAGATGCTCCTACAGACAGGCCTGGCCCAGAACCTTGCGGCTGGGCTAACCATTTCCGAGTCCCTCCCACCACGGTCCGAGCAGCTCATGTCACTCAAAGAAAGCAAAAAGAAAGACGCCCCACTCCCCTGCCTTGCCCCTCCCCTCAGCTGCCCCTGGCAAGGTGTCTATTTGTGCCATGTTACCCTCTCTGCCACCCATCAACGGGAGCCCAGAAGCAGCAGCGCAGAGCCTGCCAAACGTTGCTGCCTTGGCAGCTGTCGCCTCCTTGTTAGCAGAGGGGATTAAGACTCCTCTCTCTTTCAAAGCCCCCTGGTTGCTCCGCTTCTGCTCCCAGCCATCCTGTTTTCAGATGTCATTATCCGAACACGCTCCTAAGCCGCCCTCGGAGCGCAGAGGTTTGTTCATGCTGGAGCTCTGCCCGCAGCACGTGGGACGTTTCCAACAGGCAGGCAGGCAGGCGCGCGCACACACACACGCAGCTGGGAGGCTCGCGTTGGGACTTGCCTGCTCTTCGTGAGGCTCTCATTGCACTTAAATAAAAGAGTGAGTAATTTATGGGAGACAAAGCAAGTTCAACAAATGAAAGCCATTGCTGCCACACTCCCTTCAGGCCCTCCCCACTAGAGATAGGGCCTGCCAGGCTCTGGGGCCTGACACCTACAGCCTTCGGTGCGTTTCAGCACACACATGCACTGAACTGTGCGTATTCACACAGAGGCCCAAATGCACAACACAAACTCAGGGATGCACTGCCTTTCCCTTTCCAAACAAGTTCACTGCCCTTCACCTGCTGGAGGTGGCTACGGTACAAGCCTGCCTGAAAGTAAATAAAGAGCATGCAGAGTAACTGAGGACACACTAATGGGGACAAGTGGGGGCCCCTTCACCATGAGGGTCAGCAAGAGAGAAATCAAGAGGTCAGGTATCAGTGTTAGCTTGAAATGGGGTACTGGACAGTGTGGCGGTACAAGGCGCCGACATTTCCTTTAGCTCCAGGCCAACCCCAGCCTCTGTCTCAACAGGGGAAATAAAAAGTGTATTAGGAAAATGGTGCTTTTAGTTGTGCCTCTCCTGATGCCCCAGAATTACTAAGTCTGAGCTACAAGAATCTCTGATTTTTCTCATCAGGTACCTCTCCAGCTCAATCACCAAAACCCAGAACCAACACTCGACCCAGCAAGGGCCACAGAGAGCCAGAAACCCAGGGAGTGAGCCAGGCAAGCAGTCACTGCTGCAGCTGGCAGAGAGCGATTAGCCACACCCTAAGGTGTGCAGAGCCATGGCTAGTGCCCGGAGAGATGCTCCTCACAGCTTGACCACCTGAGTAGAAAATGCAGTAAAACATGTTTTATTCTGGGAGGTAATTAGCTCTGGCGGCACAATGCCTCCTACACCCAAATGGAGGCAAATTCAAGACTTTTGTAACTTCTTGGGAAAAGGGAGAAGGAGCCATCTGGGCTTCAAACAGAGCACAGTCTGCCCCAGCCTTGGACAATCACGCAGAAGCACCATGGGAGTTCCAAGGCGCAGTGCACTTAAGGGAGGCCCAATTCCATAAGCCAGGCCGTCAACCGTCTTGAGAACCAAATCTGAATTGGTCCAGTCACAGCTGTGCAGGGCCCAGGCCTGGAACAGCGGGGTAGGGTCTCTAGTCAGAAATGTGGGGCATCAGTAAAGCTGGGTGGGGAGCCCAGAAGTGGAATAGCTGGGGGAGCAGTAGGTGAGGCGTGAAGCACTGAGCAAGCTTCCGCCACAAACCTCCAGGCTCCTACTATTCAGGACAAAGAACAGAGTATCTCCCACAGGAGGGCAGGGATGGGGCCTGCTTGCCTCCTTGAAGGACAATGAAGAGTGACTCTAGGATGGCCTCCTGCTTGCACCATGGCCAGGGCAAGAGCTGCTCTTTCCCTCGGCAAGCTGGACACCAGAGATGGGGCAGACATAAGAGAGAAATGAATGGAGCCAGTTCCCTCCATGCTCTGGCACTGCCCTTCCCACTCAGCCTTGGGCTGGAGGCCAGCTGCTGCCACCTGACCCCTCCCCTCCCAACCATGCTACACCATGGGATTTATCTCCAAAGCTCTAGAAAAGAAGATTTTCATAGGGCACAATTATTGGGGGACCTCAGGGAGGATGAGAGTGGGGAGTCTGGGGTAATAATGCAAAATATCCCAGAGAGAGAGAGAGATTTGTGAGTGTCAGGTAAGAGAAAGAAAGGGGGGTTAAGATCAAACAGAAACAATAAGCTCAGAGTTTCACAATCAGGCTCTCAAATCCCCTGCACATTTTTGCATAAGCATTTCCCAGAGGTAAGATTTTACACGTGACACAAAGTGCACCAGTTGCTTGCTCTGCACTTTCCATCTATGCCCCTGATTTACACTCCCAAACCCAACGCTCTCACACACAAAAGCTCACGTCAACCACCTGCAGGCGCCATTTTGAAAGCTCAGGGGAGGCCCCTTTGAAAAGGAAGCTCTTGGGGTAGCAAACGAGTGCTTGCCTCACCATGGAGCGGAGGGAACTTGAGGCAGGAGCTTTACAAAATTACGGTAAAATCTCATTTCTTCTCCTATGAGAACATAAACTTTAAAGCTGTAGCTGAAAGTCCCTGAGGAGCTTGTACCCCTCCAAATGACAGGCATCCAGACTGCAGGGATGTTATGAGAGTTTCATATCAGAAAAACTCTTTTTTTGTACAGATAAGGGTGAAACTTGCGGGCTAAGCCTAGAAAGAGTGAGAGTGTGCACATGTGTGTGTACACTACTGAATGTGTATATAAGTCTGGGCATTTGTGTATACATATAGTATGGAAGGGGGGCTCTGTGTGTATGCAAGTCTGCGTCTAAGTTTGTATGCATGTGAAACCATGTGCACACATATGTACATGCAGTACACAGGGCTTGTTGTGCCAACTTCAGAAATGGCCTGTGAGGGTGCCTGCAGTGCGTATGGGTAAGCAAGTGTGAGTGTGACACAGACCAGGCTTGTGTAAGGAAGGGTGCGTGTGAGAGAGAGGAGGTCTGGGTGTGCATGTGCACACAACAGAAAGGTGAGTGAGGGTTATTTTGAGTCTGTGTATTGTGGACACAAGTGTGTCAAAACACAACAGTCTGGCAGGAAACCCTAGCTTTCCCTCTCCGTCTCCTGACCTGACCTAGCTGTGCTGGAGCCCGGAAGCTGACAATAACTAACTCTGTAGGGGGGAGAATCCCTGGGGGGTGGAGGGGAAGGCAGGGGTTGTCTGAAAAACACTTGTTGGGGTGGTGGCTAGGATGGGGGGTCAGGGCCCCTCCACACAGGCTCTGGGGCAAGAATGGGGCTGAGATACAGTCTCTTTTCCTTTAGGGCTCCCAACTCTGCAGTCCATTTGCTGTGAAGAGCTTTGTTCTCTCCTGGGGCTGTTTTTTCACCTTACCCTAGTGGTGACTGGGTGATCTCTATCCCTGGGCTCTGCCCTGGCTCGTGGAGCATCTCCGTGGCAGAGGTAGCTTAGCTTGGCCAATGGGGTGGCTTCCCTCCTTCCTTTTGCTCTTTTTTGGCAGGGAAAATTTTAAACAAACAAATGAAGAAACACTGAAGATTTAAGTAAACAGCCAAAGATTTATCTGACAGGCCAGCTAAGCAGCCTTTCCCTGGCCCAGACCCTCCCCTTCCCACTAGCCACTACTTACTGGGGCAGTCTGGGGAGATGCTTTTCACTCTGTCTGGGAAACCAGGCCCCAACAGCATTTACTCTCAGCCCCAGCTGCCACAGGCAGGGACCCACCACCCAGGAGCTCACACCAGCACCACCCTGGGCAGGGCTCCCAGCAAGGGGCTCATTACCATCATTACCATGACCTGGGGGCTTTGAGTGGCCTCACACCCACTTTGTAATGACCTTAAACAATCACATGTGGGGGGCACTAAAGGTAAAAGAAAGACTCTAAATAACCCAGAAAGCCTCGCAAAGCAGGACACCAGCTCCACTTGCGCCACTGGAGAGACACAGACGTAGGGGACAGTAGGAATGAGAGGAACTGCTATTAGACTGACTAAATCCTGGTATGCAGCAAGAGAGTGGAAGTAACCTTCCTCCATATAGCTCCGCTCGAGTACCTCACCCACATCCACCCCTGCTCTCCCGGTGCCAGGCCCCTAACTCAGCGCCGCTCGAGTACCTCACCCACATCCACCCCTGCTCTCCTGGTTCCAGGCCCCTAACTCAGCGCCTCTCGAGTACCTCACCCACACCCACCCCTGCTCTCCCGGTGCCAGGCCCCTAACTCAGCGCCTCTCGAGTACCTCACCCACATCCACCCCTGCTCTCCTGGTTCCAGGCCCCTAACTCAGCGCCTCTCGAGTACCTCACCCACACCCACCCCTGCTCTCCCGGTGCCAGGCCCCTAACTCAGCGCCTCTCGAGTACCTCACCCACATCCACCCCTGCTCTCCCGGTGCCAGGCCCCTAACTCAGCGCCGCTCGAGTACCTCACCCACATCCACCCCTGCTCTCCCGGTGCCAGGCCCCTAACTCAGCGCCGCTCGAGTACCTCACCCACATCCACCCCTGCTCTCCTGGTTCCAGGCCCCTAACTCAGCGCCGCTCGAGTACCTCACCCACATCCACCCCTGCTCTCCTGGTTCCAGGCCCCTAACTCAGCGCCTCTCGAGTACCTCACCCACACCCACCCCTGCTCTCCCGGTGCCAGGCCCCTAACTCAGCGCCTCTCGAGTACCTCACCCACACCCACCCCTGCTCTCCCGGTGCCAGGCCCCTAACTCAGCGCCGCTCGAGTACCTCACCCACATCCACCCCTGCTCTCCTGGTTCCAGGCCCCTAACTCAGCGCCACTCGAGTACCTCACCCACACCCACCCCTGCTCTCCCGGTGCCAGGCCCCTAACTCAGCGCCGCTCGAGTACCTCACCCACATCCACCCCTGCTCTCCTGGTTCCAGGCCCCTAACTCCACTCTACACAAGTACCTCACCCACATCCACCTGTATTCGCCCAGTGACAGCCCCCAACTCAGCTCCACACAAGTACCTCACCCACATCCACCCCTGCTCTCCTGGTTCCAGGCCCCTAACTCAGCGCCACTCGAGT